ATATACATATACATATACATATACATATATATATACATATACATATACATATACATATACATATACATATATATATACATATACATATACATATACATATATATATACATATACATATATATATAGGGCACATCAGTAAATACTAAATCACTTTATTGTCATTTAAAAAGCCTTTCATATATTCAAACAAGAAAATGGACGAGATAAAACGTCATCCCTGCTGCCAGTAAATTACCGTTATTTTACGGGGAAATTGTTTAAAGTCTGTGCTTTCTCGCCTCGCAGGTTTCCGTGGATCCTGGTTATACCTGGACCATGCTCTTGCCTCCTGCTGTGATTCTGTCATATGCATTGAATGTGTTGTAACTCTGTTGTTGTTCATTGTGTACACATGACATCTATTGCACTTCTGTCCATCCTGGGAGAGGGATCCCTCCTCTGTTGCTCTCCCTCAGGTTTCTTCCTATTTTCTCCCCATTAAGGGGTTTTTTGGGGGAGTTTTTCCTGTTCCGATGTGAGGGTCGTGGGACAGAGGATGTCGTATGTGTACAGATTGTTAAGCCCTCTGAGGCAAATTTGTGATTTTGGGCTATACAAAAATAAATTGTATTGAATTGAATATGTGTGGAAAAAGGCCGTCAATGTCTTTATTTTTCTATATTAGATTAGCGTTGGGATTAGGCTAGCAATCTGTCTCAAGCAAGTTGTTTTTGCAGAAAAACAAATGACAACATCTGCACAACAACATTATTTTATCATGTTGCAGTCCAAGAGTACAAGTTTTAAATTTAAAATCTACATTCTATATTTTGTCGTCATCAAGTACAATTCAACATGACATTACAGTGAAGCACCTCAGGTTCTTCCAAACAAGGTGTTTGGGAACATTTCTATATTGTGATTTGCTAAATATGCAAAATTTAAGCACAATTAAATAACTATAGTTTATATAAAAAAGGAGAAAGAGAAATTATAGGTATGAGATAAGTCCATGAGAAAGCATTTTAATGTTCAAATTCTGTATTTAAGACTATAGAAACAATTTATCAAAGATTTTACACCACTTTAAAAGAAGGCAACTATGAACTTAATCCCCTGGGAAAAACCTTTCAGTGTTAATCCATCCAACATCTTCAAACACCTTGGTACTCATGTTTACAATGTCCAACATACAGTGGCTCTGCTCGGATGCCACGCCTCGAGGAGAAAGGGAAGCAGAAACACCAGTATATAACAAGTAAACATGTGAAAAAGTGCCCTGTGTCTTGTTGAGGTATGCCAGCCCATAGCTCTTTACACGTTCTGGATAGAAATGGTAAATTACCTCACAAGCTTGCAGCGAAAGTCCTGCAGGCGAGGAAACGCCTTGCCCAGACTGGAGGTCTGCTTCTCATCACTCCAAAGTCTCTCTGCCGCAGCACTCGCCCTTGGCCTGTAATTGTGGGTGCAACCAGTGATTATTTAGAGTAATTTCATGCAACTGTTGCTGCACTTATTATATTAAATTGATTAGTATTAGGAATTCAGAGATGTTTTAAATCTTGTACCAAAGACGTGGACTGAGATTGGTGGCATCCACATACTCCCCCCACATGCAGACTTCACCCCCTATCACCAGCTTCTTCTGTTCCTCAGTACCTGCAAGGGGATGGTGAAAAGCTTTGCTTCAATTATATGATGGCTGTTAATTAATTTACAATCAATCAGAATCTTCACTTCAAATGTATCACACCACTTCACATAAAAACTGCGAGTCAATGTTTAAATATGCCTCTACATCACCAGCACGTAACTGAGGCAGGTTATACAATATGATATTACCTTGGCATGCACACACCAGAAAAGTTCAGTGGCTTCACGTTGTAGTAGTCACGCCAGTCCTGGCCATAGGAAATGTGGTTGATGTACCATGGGGCAGCTAGCAGGACCCTCATGCCAGCTTTGGTCATCCTGCTAAGCTCTGCCTTATAACTAGCTGGGATACCCTTCCAGATGCGCAGCACTGTGTCCTTAGGAATCTGAACAGGGTGATAAACAACATGCTGTCTTGCCCTTCTGTGCTATATTGCATCTGATGACTGTTTACATATAGTGTTTTATATATCAGAAAATAGGCACATATAAAAACTCCTTAATGAGCTTTTATCAACAAGGGCAAGCATTTACTGGCATGGTTCTCAGAATTTGTAGCCCTCCAATCGGGCAAAGCGTCTGAACTTTTGGATTCAGATGGATTCATAAATCAGTTCTTATGCCGCAAAGGCATTGTCTCTCCAAAACTAGTCTGTTAATAAAACTAAAAGCCTCGCCCAGAATATCCTTTTTACAAAATATTACCTTCTTGGAGGATACAGTGTGCACAGTACATGATGTTACTTTAACCAAAGAAGATGGGAACTGAATTGTATAAATCTATGCTTGCAAGATTGTGTAAATCTAAAATTGATAATTGGTTCATTTATTTTGAATTAGTCAATTTAGTTAGCAGAGCTGACTACAATCTTTAAACCAACAGAAATGCCCAATAGGCAAGTCACAGTTTTTAGCTGGAAAATGTAGTAACCAGCATGATGAAACATGATTTATCGGTAGTTTATCTAATAAGCAACCTGAATGTGAAACAACTACGGTCCACTTTTGACTGACTTACATATTTCTCCTGTGCTGGGCCTTTGCTTTAATAATTTGAAGCAAGGAACTTTGTGAAATTACTGCCAATGGCAATATTTTTATACTTCTGTGTGTAGGGAAAGCGTGTGTATGTTTCAATGGGAGCATAAGACAGCATTCAGAGCTTGTACCACAGCAATCACATCTCTCAGTCACTGTGTCCCAATTCCATACTACTTACTAATTCTAAGTTGAGTACTGTTTGTAATGTGTTCACACTGGAAAAGTTATTAAAAAGTACATTGATTTCTATTAAAATGTCTGTACTGTACATTCTGTATAGAATTAGTATACCATATGAAATTTGGACACAGACGATGTCTCTGTAACACGAATGCAGTCTTCACTGCCACCTAGTGATATGGCTACAAATAGAACATTCTGTGTTGCACACTCAAAAAGGTTTGGTCGTGGATATCCTGTATTTTAGAGGAAACCAAGTTTTACCTGTAAATCATTATTCGAGACAAAAACCACAGCAGAAAGTACGACTTCAACTAGACACAGCACGCAGAATCTTTTCTGACCCTCGAAGGCGAGGGGCCACACAGTATAGAAGCGGGCCCAGTTGTGTGTGGGCCCTGGCTGGTCCAGATACCATGGAGCGGCGAGAATCACCCTGAGCCCCACTTTCGCCACCCTGCGCGCTTCACACAGGTAACAGCCATCTCTCCATACCTCCACCACTGATAGAGAGCTACGCTGCAACACAATGCTATCGACTATCAGACTTACGATAAATGATTGTGAGATACATTAGCTTTTCTTTATAAGACAATATACTATTAAAAATGGTTGGTCACCACTGAATCTGATGAGGTCAACATTATATCGGTATCTAACAAAAACATTACAGTCATACATAAGTAAAAATGTATTTATCCATATTATGTGACAATTACTAGCCTGTGAACTGAAAAGACCAGATGGGGTAAAAAAGGCGGAACAAAGATGTGTGAAATATTTGTGACAAACTAAATGCTACATGTTTAAATTTAAATATCTCCTTCAGTGAATGCACATACTTTGACACAATATGAAACAGCTGAAATATTTTTTTTTAATGGGACAAGTACTACAAAATAAAGCAGGCCTTGTTTTAGACGCCTTGATCTGCACCAAGCTACAAGTAATGGTTAAATGCAATTGTAATAACAAACTTCATTGGCTGCAATGATATGAACATTTTCAGCATTTAAAATATTAACATTTGTGAGCATGTAAATCATTGCTTATCTGTAAAAAGCAATATAATGCAACCCTGCACTAGCAGAAAAAAATGAATCATATTATAAACAATGTCTAAAAAGTATGTGAGCCTATATGAACACCACTGACACATATTCTACTATATTCATGTATACTGTATATTATACCACAGAGTTGATATTTGTTGGGGTGTACTTACTCGTTCATGGTAGTCAAACACATCCTGCCAGACAATAACTGTCTTGTTGAGGGCTGAAGTGATATTCACAATGCTGGAAATATATAATAATAGAGACATTAATGACATTTGTAACTTAAACACGGTGGTTGGTGTACATCCCCGAGCTTTTTACATTGCACAGTATGTTCCCCTTCACAACCTACTGCTCCATGTAGAATGCCTCCAGTTTGGTGAAGTCTACTCCAAATCCCAACTTCTGCATAAATGCTCGGACATCCGGGTTGGAACGCCTATGGAAATAAGCAGTAACAATCTTTTTTTTTTTGTTGGTAAATTAAAAAAACATGTACCTACATCATCTACCTTCCCCTTGCTTAAAAAAACCCCAATTCTAAACGATAACAACAAATGTACAGATGTGTGTACAAATTTAGTGACAATATTAACAAACAATAGTGATCAAAACCAGAACAAACAGTCAACAGGAATTTAAATGATCCGTCACATTTCAACCTACCAACAAGAAAAGTCCACCTCATCCCCTCCTAAGTGGATGTAGGAATCAGGAAACACCGATGACACTTCCTTAAAGAGTCTCGCCATGAACTGGTAGGTGGAGGGTAACACTGGATTAACAGGACCAAAAGCACCGAAGGGGTGCTCCCGCTGTAGCACGGAGTCAACAGGTCAGACTGCCCTAAGGAATAAATAAATCAGTCAGATTTAGTTCAGCATTTTGTTAAAATATATGTCTTGTATTTTCTGTTGAGTGCAGACATTTGTTGCTACTGATGTGGCCATACAAGTCCCATAAGAAGGGAGTCAAACACAAGATTCTGTATCTTGTTAGCATTTGTAGTCTTGGCTTGCAGGTTTGACCAAACCAAGGATAATGCCAAATACTTTATATGTTGAAGATCAAGGAGCTGGGATCATTTGGACAAAACAGTTGTTTAAAGAGTAAATTTTACCTTTTCCCCATGATTTGGTGTGGCCGGGTGAATCAAACTCAGGAACAACCCTTATTCCCCACAGCCTGGCATGTGAGATCACCCTTCTCACATCGTCATTGGATGGAAAGTCCCCTGAATCAGAGCCAGAAGTTTTTGTTCAGGATGGATGCAACTTTTCAGTATTTCAAATCATGAATCTACATGCAGTAGGCCAGTTAAAAATGTAGGATAATATAAACTAACAAAGTTATTATCATTAAAATGTTGATACATTTTCAAATTAGAATGTGCAGAATGATGGTGCACATGAGTCTAGGTGGCTTGTTCGTTCTCATTACTTCATCCGCAAGACATACCTTACTGGAAAGGTCTGGCTCTGGTAAGGGAAGGAGGGGTCATCCACAATGTGCCAATGAAACACATTGAACTTACTGTAGGCCATTGCATCCTAACAAGAAAGATATATGTTAGTACCACTGAATGAAAACAGAAGGCTGAATTTCAGGTTATGTCATCTGTTTATTACCAGAGTTTTCAAAATGTCCTTCACTGGTAAATAGTGACGTGAAGTGTCCAACAAAATTCCCCTGAACTGAAAGCTGGGGAAGTCGCCAATCTCAGTCTTGTTCACAAAATACTAAAAGGAGAAACAAACAATGAGAAAATGCTTGATTGATCTACTACAAACACGAATCAATCTTTATATCATGGTGACAATGTGTATTCAATAAGTAATAGCTTTAGAGAACTCGTTGTACAATTCAGACTTACTGAGCCAAAATCATCTTGATACACCAGCTGACTGAAGGTTTCCAGACCTGCGCTTAATCAGAGGATATATAACATATAATAAGCAATCAATTAAAGCTGCACAGATAACAGTGGGATGCTTAGATCAGTTATTAAACTTTGGGTGTTATGAGGAATCCAGTACAACTTGCTAACAGGCTTTGATGGAACCATAGCCTTTCCTTTGCTAACTGTAGCTGATTGTTAAAATGTCTGTTTTATTCATGTGTACTTTTGTACACATGTGTTTTTTCACCTCTGAATGCACCCCACACGGTTTCCGCATTCAGTGATGCTTGTCCTGCAGAGACACTCAGATTATCTGAAACGCAAATAGAAGCGAGTTAGATAATGCATCAAACCCCACTGATTGGGAATGGTTGTTGCCACTGTGACCTTCGCATGTCATGCTCTGTCTCAGATAAATGTGTTGATACTTACATCTCTCAGATGAGTCATTTGGGTAACTCTCACAACCATCATGGTCAACAGTGATCTCAATGTTAAATGGTTTATCCTCAAAGAATCGCAGAACACCATTTCCTGTTGATCATAAAAGTGAGATTATCACAGTTTGTAGCGTTGTAGGTCTGTGCATGAAGTAGGCCTATAGTTTATCTTTTTAATTTTAATTATACTTCATGCACAGATCGTTGTGGAAGTGTTGCCTTTGCACTCTCATTTTGACAATGTTACAGTAAGACTCCCATCATTCTATAAATATGGTATTTTTTAAAACACAAACATTACGCTGTGCTGTACTGGTCCATTGTCATTGAGGGATTTTAGGGTAGTTAGGCCTACACGGGCTGACTGATGAACTGCTGTCTCTACAAAGCCCATTGATCTTCTTTAAAAGCCAACATGACAAACAGAACATTCAAAACCAAACCAGTGAGCACTTTGTTCTACATTTGTGTGCATCCATTTTGCAATCTTACATGTGTGAATCTTCAGCTCATCACACTCCTAATGTTAACACTACAATTTAAAAACACAGGATTTACATACATAGTTTGAACATTGTGTTTATAATGACACATTCATGGCACAGCTAATTCTGGTCCTATGATATATAACGTTTCAGCATATAGGCGCACTAAAATGTAAGTGTCTGCTGAGTTGAAGACGGAGATCTGAGTGTCTGCTGACTTGACCGCAGTGATGCTGTCGCAATAAATCATACATATTTGAATCATAGAAACCCTTTGTTAATATTTACCATTTTTGTTGGTATGACTGGACCTTTTAACTCCCGCAATAGTCTTTAAGACACCTCACTTTATCACTTACCAGTGTAGTCAGGAAAGATAAGAGAAAAATATCTTATCAATGCAGAATCCAGAACAGAGCAGCCCTGCTGTGCGGCTGACTGTCTTCCGTATCCAAAGTAGAAAGCCTGAGGGTTCAGAGGGTATCGCTCGATTGAGGAGGTGAAAGTCTGCGTATAAAGTATATCGTCCAAAACTAACCATACACAAAACTAACCATACACACAACTTCCATCCTACTCCACTCAAAGGCAGACTGCACTGTGACGCAGCGCCAGTCAGGTGGACAAGAGCATAAAAGTCACATGACTGGGGCCACACGGTGTGGGTGATTTTATTTTTTTATTATTATTTTATACTAAAGGTAAAGTAAATGGTTTATACGGTTTGCAACTGTCGTATATCTATATTTAGTTATTGTATAGTTACATAACACACAACATTAATTCTACTTATACGAGTACATTAACGTAATGTGACGATTGACGCAAATGTAAAGTGAAACTGTGGGAGATACAACTATCATGAGGTGGGCAAATAAGGCTGACAAATACTGGTTGATGACAGTTATTACAAAGTCAAAACATGTGTGCAGCATTTAAGTTATGGGCATGATCAGAATCGTATAGTTCGTGTAATTGTTTCAACCGCAGACCCTGCCTACATTTTATAAGGGAGAAGTGTTCACTTGCCGCTGACTTGAGCTGCAAGTGTTGTAAAATTGGCATATAATAATAATAATGATATATTGCGTATTTGAATAGTTTCGATACATATTAATGTGAAACAAGAACGTTCCATATAAGTACAATTTTAGTTTTTTTTTTGGTTTTTTTTTACATGTTCCTGTACAGCCCATCTGACGTAAGGACGTCGTCAGTCGGTGACGCTGTGTCTCTTTGTTGGCTTAGCAGCGGCGACGTTTTGTTGTTATTTTCGCTGCAGCCGAAAAAGAGGTTCGGATAATTTTGGTTTTCGTATTGTTCCGCAATCAACATTTCACACACTGTAGACTTAGGTGTGCTTGTCACGAGTTGATAACCACCCTAGGAATGGACTCAGACGAGGGTTATAACTATGACTACGACGACGAAGAGGAGGAATGTAGCGAGGATAGCGCCGAAGAGGAGCCCGAGGACGACACCCTGGAGCTCGGAGAGGTGGAGTTGGTCGATCCCGTGGTGGCCGGTGGAGAGCGAGACGAGTGCGGTGAGACTGGCGGAGGTGGCCACGGTCACGGCGAGGAAGAGGAGGAGGACTACCGCTTCGAGGTTTTGACTGCCGAGCTGATCCTCCAGCATATGGTGGAGTGTATCAGGGAGGTCAACGAGGTCATCCAGGTAGGTATTCTGGTGTGTCGGTGTCAGGAAAGACCGGGGTCCAGGCTTGGTTGGAGCTTAAACAGGCCATGGACGTTAGCTTAGCCATTAGCCTCGTAAGGAGTAGTTTACTTGCTGGAAGTTGGCAGTTTCACAAGTGATTCGATTTACACAATGCTAAAATTATTTATTTCTCAATGTAGCTCTCTTTTTTGTGTGGGTAGTGTTTACAATTTAGGTATTGACTATGTTAAATGCTTACATATAAGTAATAATTTCCATACGAGTGCCAGGAAGTAGTCTAATCCCAATTGAGAAGTTGGCAGCTCCGTTTGCTAAGCTAATGTTAGCTTGCAAGTCAGCTAGCTGGCTAACTAGCCATATGTAACCGTTAATCGAGCACCTTACTGCAAAAAGCGTCATGTCTTTGGTGTTAGATTTAGGTAACGCTAACGATTAACTCGTGCGAGACGACATGCGGAGTGGGTTAACCAAGCAATCGATATTTAACGTGTCAAATGTTTTAAAATAACAATCGTTGACGATATTTTAATGTTGCACGAAAGGCTTGGTCATCGAGTTGGTTAGCAAGTTAGCGTGACATGCCACAGGGTTATTTACGTGAACGTTAACACACTATCTTATCATCGCGTCCACATACGTTTGTATGGATTGCAAGAACGTTATAATCTGTCAACCGCTAATAGTTAATAGCGTTTATTAAATATAAGGGCAAACTCATTGGAGCCCTTCGGTTTAGGTTTGGGCCTCTATTTCATTTCACTTAACGTTAGCTAACTAACATACAGTTGAGTACAGCATAAAAAGTGATTTTGATAGACCGGGCACTATTAACGTGTTTGAGAAATAACGTATTTTATACAACGTGGTGATTTTGAGTGCCATTATTAACCAAACCCAAAATTGGTAAAAAATAAAAATCAGTCCAGTGGATCCGGTACAGCCGCATGGCAGCAGAAACAACTGACATGGTCATTCTTCTAAAAATAGGATTTACATCTACCTACTTAATATTAAGGTGTTTTTTTTTTTTTGGCACCAACAAATAACATTTTAAGCAAATTAAATATCCACCACATCTGTTCTCAGAATTTAAGTTTTCGATGTGTAGTATGAGACAGAAGGATAATTAACTTAACTGGAAATTAATTTACTTGTGAATGCCTCTTGTGACTGTGCATTTACATGTGGAGTGACTGGATGTGCCTCTGAATGGGTAAAGTTACAGCGGCTGATGGATTTATTTCATATGAAGAAACTTGTTGACTGTCAAAAGATTCCACTGCAAACTTCAGATACACAGGCAACATTTAAAGGAAGATTGTCCATGAATATATTAAGAGATGTTTTCAATATTTCCCATCCCATTTATATCAGTGAGTGTAGACCAAATTGTAGGAACAACTCCCACCAATACAGTTCAACAACGCCACAAACTGCAGCCTCTAAAGTGAGTATCACATTGAATCAACACCTCTCTCTTAACATCATTGTAGCCTTTATGAAGGTGGGATTTATTGCAGTTGTATTGGACTTAGTTTTAAGTAGGTGACTCCTTTTATGCTTTGTGGCCTTTCAGCCCTTTGCTGGTGTCTTCTATCATAACGTGACGGATTATCTTGAATAGTTATTCACTAATTAGGGCTGGTTATCGTTAAGAAAATTACGATACCAGTACCCTGTAAGTGATATTGATACCAATATAGTCCTTCATTTGATACCTTTATTTTCTTCTGTATTTGATGCCCTTCATGTAAATGGAAGCGTTCAATTTTTTGAAATGACTCCACCACCGCATTCAATTTTATCAGACACCACAGGCATGAAATCATACTTTCAAAGGTTTTGGTGGCATCTCAGCACGCTGAACTGCCAACTCCGTCAGATACACAGTGCTTGGCTTCACCACACCACGGACTGTGGGGGTTGAAGCTGCTGCGGTGGTGGGCCAATCACATGGCGCATTATATCAAAGAATGCTTGCGGTGATTGGCTGCGATTAAAATCCTACACATAGTGTTTCGTTTCCAAAATCTAGGTTCACTTTAACCTTCACTTTAATCAACAGGTGGCAAGCAAGACGCACACACTTCACTTGGGTCATGAGCAGTTGTGGAGCATTTATTAATCGACAAATTTACCTTCACACAGCGGTGGACTTCACACACACACACTCTGTCTCTCTCGACTGAACACTTGCTAACATTACGCCGGGCTTGCAATACCTTGACCGAGTATGCTGGCAGACACACAGCTGAGCACCTAGCAGCTAAGTTAATTGATGTGGTGGAGACTTATTGTGAAAGTGGCTACATTTATAAAAAAAAAAGAAAAGCATTGTGTGTATAAAACGGGTACGTTATAAAACAATTCCCTTATCTAATCTTGCAATTGCTGAGAACAATAGGTGCTCTGTTGAACTATGGCACGGTGATACAATGTACTCTACTGTTGCACCATCATTCTGATTTTACAATGGTATGTAAAATGCTTATTCTCTTGTATTATCACCATGCAATATACATATGTGTGTTTACTACTCTTTGAGGTTGATATGTATCATCACACTTCTCATCTGACTTCAGTAGCCAGAAAAAGTCATTTTCATCAGTTTACTGTTCATACAGCAAAAGGTGTAAACAAGTTTGTTTGACATAAAATAAACCAACAGCAAGTTTTGATGGGGGTGTGGGGGGATTAGTGCATTTTACTACTTTAAATACCTAAATGTCATCCTAAACTGAGATAAGTTAGGATTTCAAACTTAGGAAGTTTCTGTAATGAGGCCTCATGTTTCTTTTTGGTTCTGCAGCTTTCTCGAGAACTGTCGGACAAACAATTGACACTTGACACTGAGCTTTCTTAGGTCCTCAGTAATACACCTGCCGTGACATACAGTTGTTGCGTCACAAACTAAAGTCCTGTCTACGCTGTCAGAAACATCATCAGTGAAATACACTGGTTCAGGGTCACAAACAGCTTTATATAGCGGCATTTACTATGTTGTTTAGATTAATTAAATATGAATATTGTTACTATTCTAACTCATTCTTCCACAAAGTAACCTGCAAAAGGCCCCCAAGGCACTTCAAAATATGCAGCTCAACTACTTCAGAGGAAAACATTGTCGTACTACATTTACCTGACAGAGAAATGTTACTGGTTGTGTTGCAGACTCAGATTTAGCTCACAAAATGTAACTATTACATTATGATGCTATAAACTACCCAGCATCATCTTAAGTTGCAATTCAAGTAGTTAAGTAAATGGAATACTGGCTTTCCAGTTCAGGGTTGTTATGACATACAATGATTCAATTAATCACTCAATCATCACAGCAATCCTTTTGTATTCTCAATGTCTCATATTCTCAATTTTCTAAAACAATGCACATGGCTACTTTTTCAAGAAGTAATATAAGCTCTTCTGCTCTTACTGCCTCTGCCGACGAGGTTAACAACACCACGGTTGAATTTCAGCCGGCATGTACGGTTTTTAGAAATTATTTTCGACAACAGAGCAACTGATATTGGTAGTGACATCACAGGTCTCCTGTGTGCTCCGTGCTCCGTGCACACAGTGTGTGAGAGCTCCGCTTGGTGAAACACCAAGATCAGTAGAGGAGAGAGAGGGGGGGGGGGGAAAAAAAAGCGCCACAGAGCAAAAAGCAGTAAAGACTCAAACTAAGCCGACATGAAGCCATACTTTTTATTATATTTCGTCGATGCAGAGTCGTCCGCATCGCAGTGCACCTTAGAATCGAGAACTTTCCACATTTTGGACTTCTATTGTTGTAGTTTGTGGTGGTATTTTACTGGATCGTAACATGAGTAAAGGTGTTTCAGATGTTTCTACTAACTTACATCGGTGGACAATAAATGGTAATGTGAGGACTATTGAATCTACAACTAGCTTTAGCTATTTCAAATCACTCCATTCATTTACTACGAGGCTTAATCAATTTCCTAAAAGCCTGGGCCTTTAGGCTTCCTGTTCCACGAAAGATTTGTGAAAGTGGCTTTTCATGTCACATTTACTCCTTGTTGTTGCAGTGAAAATTGGCAGTAGTTAAATGTAAATTTCAGTTTTATTTCTGACCAACTCTTTTCTTGTTCCTCTAGAATCCTGCGACAATAACACGCATCCTTCTCAGCCACTTCAACTGGGATAAGGAAAAGCTTATGGAAAGGTAAGAATCTGTGAAATACAAGTTAAGAAGCTGGCATAGAAGTCCCCGAAATAACCCATTTCTTAATGCTTTCTTCAACACCTTTTTGTCTCAATTTATACAGGTATTTTGATGGCAATCTGGACAAGCTTTTCTCCGAGTGTCATGTCATCAACCCCAGTAAGAAGCCTCGCATCCGTCCTCCAATCAACACTAGGTCATCGGCACAGGACATGCCATGTCAGATCTGCTATCTGAACTTCCCCAACGCTGTGAGTCCCGTCATCACGCCAGTATTGTGTTGCGCTAGCCCAATATATGTTGTTCAGTTCTAAATAGTTTGTTTTCAGACCTAACACAGTAAAAGTAAAAGATGGCTAACTTCACGTCACAAAGGGTGATCTTATTATCTGTGTACGGTACTACAATTAATATTTGTGAATGTAGCTGTGTCATTAATTCAACCCTCATTATACAAACTGCATAATTTGCAGTAATAAATGGCAATATATCGCAATGTTTGATATTGCAATAGTCAGCATATTGCCATAATATCGTATCTTGACTTAAGTATTGCGATAATATTGTATCGTGGGGCCCCTAATACCCATGGTCCCACGAAGCTGGCATGTTCCTCAAACATTTGGATTTACGGTTATGTTCCTCTGGCTGCCGCACTCTTCATATCAACCCTGTGAAACATCACAGAAGTGCAATTTTAGATTGAAAGTCAGATTTACTCAGGAACTGGCAGTTGCAGGAAGCTCTGAAAGTCCTGCATAGATAAGGAGAACTCCTTATCTTAATATCTGAATTCTGTCTTTTTTTGAGTGAAGACCACAGACCACGTGACGGCTCTTATGCGGTCCATGTCAGTACTGAACTGTCTTCTGTTGGTCCGGTTATTGAGCATGTTACATTCTTGTCCCTCTGACCGTATGAAAGCTTTGATCTACACACTTGTTTTAAACACGGTCCTTCTTAATTGGAGGATACATGCTGATGTGCAAAGGAAAATAATTAGGTTGAAGATTTTTGAATTTAAATTTAACATATTACGATTTAGCAATTTTTACTTCCAACACAAAGAACAATTACATTACACAAGCTGGTTGCAGATACCCTGTTATCCTCTTTGGACTTTTTAATGTTTTATTGTTTTACAACTTTGAAACACATTGAAGGTAATTATTTTTTGGAGTGGTTACATTTATCAACAGAGAAAACTTAAGTCTCAATGTTAAAACAGATTTCCACAAATTGTTCTACGTTAAAGGCAGAGTGCACAACCTCATTCCCAAAATGATGTATATTGTCTCAACAAAAGATGAACGTATACTATCCAGGCCAGGTGGGTTAGTGCAGCTGTGATATTAAGAGTTTCTTCTCTCATAATCAGAAAGAAAGTTGGATAATCCAGATTACTTTAATGTAGAATATTTGTATATTGTTTTAAATATGGATTCCTTTGAATGGCCTTTCCTGGTTACCAAAGGGTCATGTGGTTATTATCATGTGGTGTCTTGTTGTTCTTATTTACAAGATGCTTCTCTCTTGCAGTACTTTACCGGCCTGGAGTGTGGACACAAGTTCTGCATGCAGTGCTGGGGAGATTACCTGACCACCAAAATCATAGAAGAAGGAATGGGACAGGTAGCCTCTCAGGGTTTTTCTTCTGCTCACTGAGCTTACTCTTTTAATAGCTGTCTGACTAATGATTTGCCTTTTGTGTTGTTTTCTCAGACCATTTCTTGTCCTGCTCATAGTTGTGACATTTTGGTCGATGACAACACCGTCATGTGAGTATCCGTTTGTGCTTATATTTGTTCAGACTTTCTTGTTATGAAAAGAGCAGGAAACAAAAAGGATTCTTGTCTAATTTCTACACCTCTGCGCTGGCAACAGCCGTGGCCGGAGACGTTCTGTTTTCAGGTTGTCCATACGTGCACAACGACGGGAATTTCTTAAAATTAGGCACAAACATCCGGCCGTGACTCAAGGATTGATTATTCAAGTGATTCGATTTTGGTGGTCAAATGTGAAAGTTGCTATGAACTCGAGTTGGGGCTGTCAATAAATATTCCATATTTGAATATCTACTCAAATAAAACAGAGAAATGTATATTTGCTTGTGGAGAAAACAAAGCATGACAACCGTGGCTGGCTGCCTCACATGCACTGATGACACGAGTCACACAACATCACTTTCAGTAACTGAAAATAAAATCTAACGTCAAGCTGAACGATGAATAATTCAACAGCAACCGTAATGATGGCAGAGAACTGGGCCGCAGAGAGAGAGTGACTCTGTCCTCACAGCAAGCGTTGCGTTGCGTCATGTGATCAAACCAACACGGTGTCACGGACATAACGGGGGGGAATAAATATTCCAAATACTCAAACTTTTAATATCTCAGGAACTCCCTGACTGAATTTCTTCAAATTTGGCACAAATGTCCATTTTTACTCAAAGTTCAACTGATGACCTCACAGAACACGTTTTTGGCCAAAACATAAAAATTAATTTGCTAACGATGACATTTTCACCCAAATGTCTATTAGGATAAAATAATGAAGTGAGAGCCATGTTGGACAGACGTGGATCCTCATGACTGGTTCGCGTTGATACAACCGTGAGGCGGTGATTTTAGTTTGTTGCATAAAACATGTACAGAGACAAACCGCCTGAGAAGGAGCATCGTTGCCTCTGCAGTGCTAAAAGTAATATAACTTTTCAATTGTTGTATTAAAGTTAGAAAACATACAAACACCCATACACTGTGCTATTTGGTCAAACAGCTACAATTGAATAGTGAAGAACACCAACATTAACAATCAAAAGAAAATATCGTTGTTCTTGAATCAAATATGCGTTCATAATTTAAACCGTATATTGGAAGATTTTTTTTTTTTTTTTACCTGACATTCTGCCTCCTAAAAGAAAGTTCTTGGTGCGGGGCTCTCTAGTTCCACCTCTACTTAACTCCTTCACAATGTTGATGTTCAGCCGGTAGTGCAATGAAATAAGCCTCCATATTGAAAGCATGGACACTAATCTCTTCTGCCAGCTCTTAAGCTGCCACTGATGGTCTTAACCTACATTCTGATCCGACAGGTTAACGAGAGACCGATCCGTGTTTACGGTCACAGTTTAGTTTCATGAAATGCATTTTGTAGCGCTTAGTTAGAAGCTTAAACTTAGTTTTGTAATTATGAACTGTGCTGCTGGTAAATAATGCCAATTTGCAATTGTCCTTCATTGAGCTACTAAAACGTAACATTGCGTGACATCCTTTTTGTTTCCTGCACTGTTTCTTACTGTAAGTTATGCACTCAATGTGAAGGAAGGACGCTTCAACCAAAGTCCTGATTTTTATATAATGAAGACTAATAAGTGATTTGACCTCTCCTATAGGCGCCTCATAACAGATTCAAAAGTGAAGTTGAAGTACCAGCATTTAATTACAAATAGTTTTGTAGAGGTAAGCTTTGGGATTTTTTTTTTTCCTTAACAGAATATGAATATTAAACATGAAGCCTTGATTAATGATGTTGAGCTGTTCTTCTGGGACCTTCTTTGTGCTCCATCCATGAAACTATGTGTTGATATTCTACCTCTCATTACTTCCTTTTAAAGTGCAATCGACTGTTAAAGTGGTGCCCGGCGCCAGACTGCCATCATGTTGTCAAAGTCCAGTACCCAGATGCCAAGCCAGTGAGGTGCAAGTGTGGCCGTCAGTTCTGGTAAGATGGTGTGTTTGAAGAAACAATGTGTTGACTAAGTAAGTTTAAAAATCATTATTTAACATTGTGTGAATTTGACTCGTGATGCCGCCCATTGGTGCAGCTTCAACTGTGGAGAGAACTGGCACGATCCTGTCAAGTGTAAGGTAAGCCGATTAGAAACACGTACACACCTCATAGACACGCCGACCTATTACTCCAGCATTCTATTAACATACAAATGCTTCATTGTGGGATTATTTCTTTCTCTTGTAGTGGCTGAGGAAATGGATAAAGAAGTGTGATGATGACAGTGAGACTTCAAACTGGATTGCAGCAAATACTAAGGTACGGAATCAAGGTGGTCTGTTAGTTTGACCCTCGTCTGGTTCGTGTTGGTCGGTCATTATTGTGATGATTACAAAAACATTTTGATTTTGGGAATACCGATCATACTGAGAAACTGACGGACTATACAGTTTTTTTATGAAGCTGCATCACTTATTTGTTTGCGGAAACATACAAATACCAGACACTATCATGGTCCCATTTTTGTTTCGGACACAACTGTAGATTGATGAAAGACCTGCCGCCCAAAAAACAAACTTGTACAGTTTAAACATCTACAGTCTTAAAGTATGTTTTTTCTGTTTTTTATTTTTTATAATTCTTAATTAAAAAACTTGAAACACTTGGCGTTGAGCAGAGACTCGCAGAAATCATTTTCTCCTCTCATGACAGGAGTGTCCAAAATGCCATGTGACCATTGAAAAAGATGGTGGCTGCAACCACATGGTTTGTCGGAACCAGAACTGCAAAGCTGAGTTCTGCTGGGTCTGTCTGGGTCCATGGGAACCCCATGGCTCCGCCTGGTAAGACCTCATGGCTTATATAGTAAATGACGATGCAGTCACTGGCTGCGATAGAATATACTTCAAACTTACACCTTTTAAATATGTGGAAATGTAATCTACCAATTTGCAAATTGTCATGTCATACCGTTATATGTCTTAAGACACATCTAACATCTGCATTGTTAGAAATGTTATGTGAGAAAGCAAATGATTGTCAGATTGTAGCTTTGTGTCTTATTGTTTTCTGGAAAACATTGTTGATGGTTCTGACGCGGCTGTAACGCTTTAGGTACAACTGCAATCGCTACAATGAAGATGATGCGAAGGCAGCCAGAGATGCCCAAGAGGTAACAAATAACACTCTTATTGATACATTTAGAAAACTGTTCAGGCTGTTTTTTGTGCCATGGGCCACTTTTCGGTCAAGACGCCTCTGATTAGAAATGACAAAAGAGGCATTTCTAATAAGAGGCAGCAGCATATTTGTTGTAGCATGTTTCCATCCCACTGCACTGGGTGACACACAACTCAGAGAAGAGATATCGGGACAAAATGTCTGTAATTTAATAAATACAACAGCAATTGTATACCCTGCAACAAAAATACCTACTAAATTGTATACGAATGCAGAATTATGAAGTGTGTGACGTGTTGCCGATGATGTGGTCCTCGGTGTGTCTGAACATTAACAGTCTCGTACACGTGAAGCGGAGTTTGTTTGATTTAAAGCCAGTTCCATGCTGTGTGTGCGCAGCGCTCCAGGGCCGCCTTGCAGAGGTACCTGTTCTACTGCAACCGCTACATGAACCACATGCAGAGCCTGCGCTTTGAGCACAAGCTCTATGCTCAGGTCAAGCAGAAAATGGAGGAGATGCAGCAGCACAACATGTCCTGGATCGAGGTGCAGTTTCTGAAGAAGGCTGTGGATGTGCTGTGCCAGTGCCGGTCCACACTCATGTTCACTTATGTCTTTGCCTTCTACCTCAAGAAGAACAACCAGTCCATTATTTTTGAGGTATGATAAAAGGGAAACTATTGGCACAGCTGTGAGCAAACGTTGCATGATGTAAACAACTTGAGCTATTTTAGTATTCATATTTTATTTACAAATACCATTTTCAAAACTGTTAATGTCGACAGTTATTACCACTATATAGAATGAATCGGTGTAATGGAATTGTTAAGTAAGAGTGAAGTGCCACAAAAAGGCAGCACTACAATAAAAAAAATAATAATTATAATAATTACAAAAAAAAACACTTGTGAAGTAGATCTTCACCAAAATCAGGCAGGCTGAAATGTGTCCCTATAAGCTTTAGCTATTTAGTACAGCTGTTTGTGATACCTTTCTAGCGGACAAACAGAAATCCCACAAAATCTGTCCACGTTTCCTTTCCTCTCTGGTAGCAGAACTAGTCCACTAACAAAGGCCCAAAACCAAATCACTCACCCGATTGTAGGGAGGGGCGAATGGGAGGAAATCGGCCCAAACGTCCTGTAGTCTGAGCTCGGCCTTAGGCAGGAGGATTTGAAGTGTAGGGGACATGATCATGAATAACTGATATTTCTTTGAGACTAATATTGTTAATCCATTTTTTTGGGTTTATCAGAATAACCAGGCAGACCTGGAAAATGCCACTGAGGTGCTGTCTGGCTACCTAGAGCGGGATATCTCCCAGGATTCCTTGCAGGACATCAAGCAGAAAGTACAAGATAAGTACAGGTCGGTAACAGTGGAATCGTAATCACTGCTGCCGCTGTTCTGTTTGTGTGTTCTCGGAGGCTAAGAAATGTTTTGCTCTCTGCAGATACTGTGAGAGCAGGCGAAGAGTGCTGCTACAGCACGTGCATGAAGGCTATGAGAAGGACCTGTGGGAGTACATTGAAGATTGAGGACACGTCCCAATGCAACGGACTCTTGAGTATCTTGACAAACTAGAGCGCTGATGCAATTTAACAGGGCAGCACGGGCCTTCTGCCGCCTCTCCTTTGGCAAACCAACCACTTTTGCATCATTTTCCTGGATTTGTTTAACAAAATCTTCAAAATAAATTATATTTAAATGAAAGGTAGAGTAATAAAAAGAAAGTGTACAACAGTATTGTTAGAAACAGAGTGGAGTCTTGAGAAAGCAGAAAATCCATCTTAAACAAATGCATCCCTTTGGCTTGTATTGTAACACCTCCCCTGAACTATCTTATTTTCCATTGTTTTTCTTTGCTTGTGAATCTTTTTGTTTTTGTTTTAATTTTGATTTATATTTCCCATTAGTGTGAAAATGTTTTCAACACAGCTTTAATTGTCCTGACCATGTCTGCAATATCTGGTGAGATCCGTGTCTGAGTGGCTGAATGTTGATAGGTTGATTGCAAAGGGGCAAAGACATTTCAGGGGAGGGAGGGGGGGAGAAGGAAAAAAAACATCAGAAGAACAAATAAGCAAGTCTGCATTTTTCAATTTGTAAATAGTCCATATGCATGGAAGTTAAAGAGCAAGAGTGGCACGTGTTTGCATAATTTTGAAATATTTATTCTTCACCAATATTGAGAAAGGTGTACTTTTGCCATGTAGGTTGAGTCTGTCTTCTTCCTCCATAGTGTGCGGGAGCTTGAACGTCTTTGGCAAAAAAAAAGACATTCGTCCTATCATCAGTCTCTCCAGAGCAGTGTACAAAGTTACACCTTATCAGTAACTCTCAATGTGGAATACTTTCTCTTAGTCGTCAAGTAATCCGATAAAGGACTCCGTTAAAGAGCACAGCTGAGTTAGAAAACCGAGAGCAGAAAACGATTTAACCGTTCAAAAATAAGGAAGAACGCACCGGCCCCGTGTCCCTCTATTCTAACCGTTAGCCGTACCCTCTTAGTTGTGTTTAGAGGTGTTTAACATTTAAGTACATTACTAATTATTTGCAAGAGCCAAACTGAGTGACATTCACTCTTCTTTTTTTTTTCTTTTTTTTTTTTGTTCTCTTTCCCGACGTGGCCCTCATAAAGCTCAGCTTGCACCTTGGGGGGATTGAATGAGGGTAATAGAATGTACTGACAGCTCGTGCTGCTAACTGGGCTGGATCACTGTCGAACAGGGTCAGGCATGTGCATCGCTCTTGCGGGGAACACTTGGGCCGGATAGCACCGTGCCTCCTTGAAGACATCTCTTGCCTTGCAGTGAGACTGAACACAGCTGTACACTCGTGCGTGATCCTTTAAGCAGATGAGGAACATAGGGCAAACTTCTAAAGGTTGTAGGACTGTTTTATAATGCCGTTATGCTTTTGCATTCATAACTGTATTTTTTCGCACATTGGGTTGAGGAGTCGACATGGAAATGTCGGTGCCCCTCCAGGTTTTGCATTGTTCCATGAGGTGGTTGCTCTGGTTGTCAAGCGCTCTGCTTGTAAATGCTCATTCATGTCTCTGCAATATGGCGGTCTTCACTAGATTGACTGGAGGGGATGTGAATATACAGGCGGGGGTTGCAAGTCAGAAGATGACACCAAAGTGTCAACTGTCATTTAAAAAAACAACATCCGTTAACCCAGTTTCAGATCTTTGGGGAATTCTCTCCCAAATGCTTCTAATGTGTTCAAACTATTATTTTATCCTAGCAAATTATAAACTGTATTGTTTATTTGAATAAATGTCATGAGAAATCTCGTTTTTTGGGAGTACTGTGTGAGTCATTAGAGTAGGTTTGGTCTCAATCATATGAATTACCCAAACATCCGTGATGCATTTCTGCATTATGTATTTTGCGATGTAGTGTACGACAGAACTTGGCAGAGCTGTGTCTTCCAGAATTGCGTGGAATTCATTTGCTTAACTCTCTTTGAATAATTCTTTTTGATTTTAGGCAAAGAAATGTTTTGCTTTTTTTTGTACCACTTTTATTTGCAGACTGTATGATAAAGATCAGGTGGTTTGTATGATGTCACTTTTGAATTCATTTTGTCTCAAGTCCCAAACCAATGACACGAGGATGGATAGGAACAGAAGACGGGCTATTCTCTCTGAGCTGCCCTGCAGTAATCCACCAGTTCCAGCTGTGATCATTTGGCTAATACTCTCCAGGGCTCACTCTGTTTTCATTGTGTCTGCAAGTAGTTCATGAACATTTCGACGTAACGTTTGAAGTAAGAAGCAGCTACTTGCATTAAATTGGCATCCAAAAACTTTTAATACTTTTCTACATATCTTTTCTTTATGCTATGAAAGGTGTTTTATTTCCTATTAGTGTAAAAATGTGAGGAACATTAGTTGTCTGTTTTTGGAGAAAATATTAAAGTGCAAAATGTTGCAACATCCTTCTGGCACGGGTGGTTGTTTGATAAAGAACACAATGTTTGTGTTGAGGCAGCATTCCAAAAACCTTTCACCGCAATCGATACTTTGTTTTTAAACGGCGTCCTTGAGTTTGACACCGCTGTGTACTGTGGTAGTCCCCGGTGTGTGCTCAACGCATCACTGGAAATACAGGTTCCACCGAAACAGCAATTTTCTCAAATTTAAAAAGGGAATTTGCAACTAAATATTCTGTCAACAGATGGGGACAAAGACGCTTTGATTCTAACTTGAAGTTTCATGTTTTAAGTTGTGTTCCAAAAGCAATGTTTACCAAATGAACTGCTCATTTTAAACCGACTTGTTTAATCAGTAACAGTATCACACCTCAACTGATGTGAAAACACATTCAGCACAATGTTTTGTTTCATTACCGGTGAGCAAAATCTGTGACTCTGCAATAGACTCATAAGATATTTACTTAAATTGATTTCATCTTCTACATGGTGAGTTGAGAAAGGTGTAGCTGGCAATCTCAGCAGTGAAGCATTAGCAATATGATGAATCTTACATGAAATCCCATGAAGCTGGTGAGTAAACGACAAACTTTATAAAGTTGTTGCTAAAGTTAAAGGTGCATTTTTGGGAGAGAAAAGTACACTTAAACACCATGGAATCATTACAAACATTTATTTAAGACGAGTGACAATGTTAAACAACTTGATCTGCAGAAATATACAGCAATTATCCAAAATTTAATTAAAATGTGATATGAGGTGAAAGTCTTAAGGTTCACAGTGTTTAAAACGCTATAACATGGGGACATCTCAGCCTGGGTGTCATTAAAGTCCAGCAGCTTAGTACAGAACTACATTAATGCCAATGCAGCTTCAGTTAAACACCAACCACAATCAGGGGAAAACAATCACTCTTTGTTATGATGTACAAGACTGGCACTGCTACTGTAAACCTATATACATGTGGCTGGTTTGACAGTAAAAAACCCTTTTATAAATGTCTTGTCATTTTCTGGTTTCTAATTTCTTACTGGCAAAGTATAAATAGAAAAACTATCTACGAGTCGCGAACTTCACTCAGAATAACATTGTTTTAACCAGAAACATGGATAATGAAGGCAATAAATACCCAACTTCATAGTTGCTTACAATAAAAGTTACAATAAAAATCCAAAGTTTTGTACTGGTTATGAATTGGGCAGTGTTGTAGCATTTATTTGACATAACTGCAATCTAACTTTTCTATCAACCACAAAAAGCTATCGATAGATGTGTCAAAAGATAAGGGCGTAAAAAACATCTACAGGATGTTGCGCATTGCTCATCGTAAGAATCTAAAAACTGCAGTTGTAAGTGACAAAGAATGTGTAGTTGACCTCATAACAAAAAACATTATCCAGTCAGACTTCATTCCTGAGGAGGCATCAGCCGACTTTTGGAAAGTAAAAAAAAGACAGTAGGGGAACCGATTGCAGCGTGACAAGGCAAAAAACAAAACTTGCACCTAGACATTTGTTTGGGTGAACTCGTCTTCGATTTTGAGCCAGCCTTTTTTATAGTCTATCAGTAGCTCTAGGTAGTACTTCCACTCTGGCTCGCTGTCATACCTGACCTCAAATATAGTCTTCAGAGGGTTGGAGTGGGCTTCATGGATACGCACCACTTCCCCTCTGTACCACACTTCGGATTTGTCATCTTCTTCATACAGATGACGAATCCTCTTTCCTACCAGGTCTGGGTAGAACCTCATGGCCCTCCGAGCCCTCTGGACGGCCGAACGCAGGATCCATCTCCTCCTGTGTTCAGCGCTGTGGCAGGTAGACAAGTAGGGACAGTATTTGATCTTCACGAGCGATCTGCGTTTTCTCTTAGAAGAGCTGCTAAGCGGTCTTAAGGCGTGCGGGAAGCTTCCCGTTCTCTGCCACCTGTGGGTTACTCTGGGCGTCCTCCTGTGAGGGTCGCTCTCGCTGCTCACTTCTCCCCCCCCATCACCAGTATGTAAGTGGGAAGGATTAGCAAATGACCCGGCTTGAGGAATGACTGCTTCGTAGCGCGCCTTTTTTCTGTTCAGACCTTCGCTGAACATCCTCCTCAGTTTGAGAATCACACCGGAACAATTCTCGGATCTACCCGGAGACTTTGCTCCAACAGGCTGCAGACTGGAGTGTTCCTCTGTTTCTGTGTCACTGGGAGACGGAGAAAGCTTCTCAAAGGTTATAGGACACATCCATGAATTTTCCAAAGTTGTACTTAGTGGAATGAGTGAGGAATCCTGCTCTGTAACCATACGGCCACTTCCTGTCTCTTCAGACTGACGGCCACTCCAGGTTTTCTCCCTAAATGGATCCAGCACACCTCCCCTTACAGTCTTCTTGGTGTCATCTGCCTCTTCCTTCTCTGACAAATTGCTGTCCAGAAACATATGCCTCGAACTGGTCTTTATCCTGCTTTTTCTTCTATTACTGGTTTTTTCATGGTCCTTCGGACGTCTCTGTGGGTGTGATTCTGAGGGTGAGGCAGTGATGTCTGATACAGGACTCCTGCAGCTGATAGTCTCCTCACACCCTTCATCTGTTTCTCTGTCAGCAGGATCATCCATATCTAATCCTGCAACACAGCGGCCAAGATGTATCAAAATTGTGTTGTTGACAAAATGGGAAGGTAAAAGTTAAAGAGTTTACAGAATTATTTTAGTGATCAGGGAGAATATAGAGAAAGGTGGAAGTTTGAGAGTTGTGACTGAAAAAAATATGAATAAAATAATTGACTTTGTGAACAGATGATTTAAAAAAAAAAAAAAAAAAAAAAGCAAGCTAGCAATCACGAAGTTCAACACATGTTGACAAATCAATTTTCCCAGAGCGCATATTCATTACTCAAGAACAATGAGAAACTATTCTATTCAGCAGACCTGGTGATTGGACAAGCATGATGCTTCACCATGAAACACCCTTTCAGCAGAGACAGAATAGAAAGAAGGCTGTGGGGAAAAAAAGTCAGCTGCTACAAGGGGTGCCATCAGTCAGGGATGAAACAGCAGTGGGGCAATAGTAAGACAAGGGAAATGTTGATATACCAAAGTCAAGTGCTCCCAAACCATGTGAACCATTAATGTCAGCAGTTGACAGAAACTCGATTAAGCCCAATTCAGTTAGCAAACGGCCGTGCCAAATATGATCGATGTTTGAAGGACACAAAGTAAAAAGACGATTAAAAGGTGAAGTATATTTTTGTATTATTAACAAATCCCATGAAAATACTAATGCCAACAATGAATTGGTCTGTGCAATCAAAGCCTGAAGTATTCCTCTCTGCCAAAGACCTCCTTTGTTGTACAAAATCTATTTAAAAATGAGGCAAACCACTGCACCGGGTGTCATGCTCCTTCGTTGTGATAAACATGGGCACTGTAGTTTATTTTGAGTTAACCCCACATACACCATATTGGAGCCAGAAATACTCCCTAGTGCACCACATCTGCAACTAATAATTGTAGAAACAAATGCACTATTTATTCTTGTTTGAGCAACATTTGTAAAAGCTAGTGTCCGGTTGTTTTAGGAAATCACTGAGCCTCTTTTTAAGAATGAAACTACATATTTTGTAACTGTCTTTTGCAGCCTTTAGTGGCTACAAATGGGCTCCGTTTTGGTCTTTTCATGAGATTTGTTGACAATAAATTTAAAAAAAAGAAAGAAAGAAAGAATCTTGCCAGTCTTATGCTTTAAATCCTGTTTTCTTACAGCACCAATTGTTCAGTCTCACTTCCCTCGATGACTAAACAGCACAAATGCAGATTTTTTGAGGAAACTGTTAAAAGATGATGATCCCCATCTTCTTATCTGCTTAAAATGTGCCACAGTTAATCCCCTCTGTGTGTGTAGCATGCTTTCACTTCCTTCCTCCGGTAATGTGATGAAACAGCCTGCCTCACAATCTTTAAGGTCCACCAATGCTATCTAGCAAAAGCATGAAGGAGAGTTTCATTTTTCCACAAATAGCCCAGCTCAGCACCCTCACCTCCACCCACCATAACAAGCATAATACAATCATGCAATTTGTTGGGATTAGTTACGGTTAGTAGTGACTGAAAGTTAGCAGAAAAATGTCCTCCTTTCTAATCAGAGAAATCAAATAGTGAGATTGCGGGACAACATAAACAATAAATATACCTGGACTCTCTTTTGGACATCAGGTGAGGTTGATTCTGTAAAAAATAAATGGATTTTATATTGAATATTTAATGTTTGTTGTGATTTATTCTTTACAAAAGGGCCAATAATGCAGAAAGAATATAATCATGATGAATATGATTACTAAAAGACTATTTGAGGAATAACCACCATCAAAATATGATATTTTATAATAAAATCCAGAGGAATCAGGGAGTCACACAATCTACCCAACATGTAATCATGTTGTACATATCACATGGTCAAATGATCTAACTAGAGGTATCATCTTTCTTAGTATTTGTACAGGAAACAAACATTTTGCTCAACTGTTATCTGAAAAGTAGGCTTTCATACGAATTATCTTAGTCAGTCTTATGATCCATTATAAATAACAGAACAAATGAACCTAAACCTGAACTTTTTACAAGCAAATTCATGCTATTTATTCTACACTCATCCCTGAGGTGAAAAGTCACATTTCTATAGCTGCCTAACTAATAAACTGTACTTAAATGACTAAATCTATTGCACATAGTGCTGAAGTGCAGTAGTTATTGTAAAAATGTAAAAAAGGTCTCCACTTGATATATGCATGTGTATGCACGCAATGTCCAATATTCATTCAATTCATTCATGAACATTTGGACTTCAATTGGGTAGATTGTTTGACTCACTGGATTTTATTATAAAATATTATATTTTGATGGTGGTTATTCCTCAAATAGTCTTTTAGTAATCATATTCATCATAATGATATTCTTTCTGCGTTATTGGTTCAGGGTTGTTGAAATACGTAGTTGTGTCCAGTATTTCCCCCTGAACATTAATGAACACAACTGTTGCTTACTGCAACACCTCTAGTTAGTCTGGCTTGATGTTACCAAAAAGAGACAAAATATAATCATACCTACTAGAGTGCCATTGATTTGGAAACAGACGGAATAAGGACGAAAATAATTGTCTGTAACTGAAATTACATCACTGCGACACCCGTTTCCTTTACTTGAAAAATATTCACAAAATATTACCTCAGTAACTGTGAAGTGAACATGCACTCACCCAGATGTTTGCAGACACAGGTGTGATACAAAAGGTTGACCACGTCCACGTAGATGTCCGGCAGGTGTTTGAGGGACATTAGTCTTCTGAGCCGGGAGGAACAGGCTCTTTTATGAAACTGGATGAGGAGCTTTTCTTCGGAGAGCGTGGTAGGCCGCAGCTCCACTCTGTGCTCCTGCAGGACCTGGTCGATGAAGCTGCCCTGGACCATCGGAAACAATAGCTCCTTCACCACCAACATGGGGAGGAACACTGCCCCCGTCCGCATGACGTGTGGAAAAGGACAGCGTTCTTGGGAGGTGTACTCTCTCAACCTCTCCAGGACCGTATGGAGCGCTGACTTCATCTCCTCATTGAGCCACACCTCTCTGGCTTTTACCCCCAACAAACAAGACACTTTCTGGACTTTGGCTGAAGGAGATACCGCTTCAGGCAGTTCCAACTGAGACAACCAGGTTCTGAGTTCCTGCTCTGAAGAGGCCGACACAAAGTCGGATACTAACTTGCAGAGTGAATGGTGCATCTCAAAGAAGTGCGTGCGGACTGGCATTTGGACTTCTAGTTTTGGTATAACTTCAGCTATTGGCTGCACAGGTGGCCTCTCTGCGGGCGCAGCTGGGCAAGAAGGCTTGATATCACAGAAAATTAAATTGTAGGTGGAAAGTTTCAGACACTGGGGAGGAATGTTTTTAAAATTGAGTTTGCTCTCAGGGGGTTGAGGTGGAGTAATGGATTTGGGTTGCAGGGTGACCTGCTGTTCATGCAGTGTGCATACATCAGCCCGAGAAGCAGAGTTCATCTGTGCAGTCACCTCACCAGGTTTGGACTCATGTGAAGTCTCCTTTTCATCTGCTATTGAGGGTTTACTTTCAAGTTCGTCAGGTTCACATTTCTTTATCACCAACATGGGTTTGCTGTTGAATGAACTGGTCTCTTTGGGTTCTTTTTTGATTGTTAATTTGCTGCAGTACCTCTGACTAACAGGAGTATTTGAGGAGTCATCAGGGTCTAATGGATCTACTTTTTCCACTTTAATATGTTTGGGTTCAAAGAGCTCTACAGCACGCTTCTCTGTTGGAGTGTCTGCACACGTTGCTTTGGGAACCAGTCGGACAACAGACTGCTGTTCATCTCGATGTGGCCTTTTCGCTTGAACGTCTTGCTTGGTTTTGTCTTCACGCTGCTCAGGTGACCGGACAATTCTGCCTGGAAATAACATTCCAGATGCCTGCAGGTATGCTTGGTAAGGTGCCAGGCTGAAGACATTGTCAATAACTGGCATTGGAGGAGAGTCTGTTTCATTTCCTACTTCTCCATTCTCCATTTCCACCCTTCGTCGTTTCTTATTGAGTTCCACCTCACATAAATCCCTATCCTCTTCTTTTATTCTGATGGGTGAAGATGAGTGAGAAGTACTTCTCTTCAAGCACTCTTTCAGAACAGCAGTGCCTGAACTAGACACAGGGCCATTGTGTTTATTTCCTGGTGCAACAGCAGGGGAATAAATTATTTTTCGGACATTTGCACTATTGGGTACAGCTGCGTGGACTCGATCTGAACTGTGATGCGGTGACCGGGGAAGACATGCCGCGGGGGAAACGGGAAACCTTTTTGGCTTTTCTGGGCACATAACCTGGGCATCACAAGAGGAATAGTCCAGGATTCTGTCCATGTTCAGGCCAGTTGGAGGAAAGACTGGTCGGTCAATGTGCAGGCTGGTGAGTGGGGCAAAAAAACGGTTAGTCTGTATGCTGGATGGTGAGACACCAGGTTGGCTTACACGTCTGGTAGGACTGGTTTGGTCCACACATAGGAATGGTGAGTTGGTGTGTGATTGGCCAGCATGCAGGCTGGCGCTGGGTTTGTCCTTGTGTAGGATGGTTGCAGAGGCCATGGGGTGCTCCATGTAATGGCTGGATGGGGAAACATTTATGCGAGTAGAGTGAAAGCTAGGCGATGCATGTTGCCTTTTTAGAGGGGCTCCGATTTGGCTTGGATTTAAATGAAATCTGGGAACTGCATAATATGGATAGTCAAAACCCTGCATCAAGGCATGATTTGGCAACGTTTCAGTGCCTGTCAAAGGAATTTCACCATGACGCGACTGAGGCACTATGTAATGCTCCCGGGGGTTTGAGATTGTGTGTTTAAGAATAACAGCCACATCTTCTCTCTGCTTGAACTGTGTCCCGTTTTCTACCTCTACATTTGCCTGGGAGTAGTAAAACATCGGGTGCTGTGTTAACTGGCCATATTTGGTCATGGGAGAATGTTCCCGATAAACCTCTGAGGTCATATGCTCATATACGGGAAGAGAGGGGTATAAGCTAGGGTAACCTCTGGGGGAAGTCTGTAAACGCTGGCTCTGCTCACTTGGAGAACCAAAAAGTGTGCGAGTCGGGGTGCAAGGGTAACTGCTATAATTTGGGTCAATCATACCAGGAAAGGCCCTTGCTCTACCGGGGCTGTATGTCTCCACATTCATCCTCTTTAGTGGTTCTGCACTGGGCTCAATCTGTAAACCTCTCTGTTGCGGCAGTGTGTCTTGTGCTTTCCTCTGGATGGGCGGTCTTTCAGTGTAGTGAGTATCAGTTTGCATCCAATCATGCTCATATACAGTGTTTGGTATCCTCGGAGAGCCGTGTTCCACACTGTATCGTTGTCCTATCACACAACCCAGTTCATTGCAGCAGGGGTTATGCACATAAACTGGCTTAGGAATCGCTAAGTAAACAGAGTTTTCAGATGGGGGAGATGAATTATCACCTCCAGTTTTTACTTTTCTAAGAGCCCCTGATGCAGCAGCTGTAGGACTGCTGATCCCAGGACTTTTAGTGTATAATGTAAAGCCCTGTTTTACTGGTGCGTGATGCAGAGAGGAAGAATGGCAATGGCCTTCCTCTGAAGAACTGCTGTCTTGCCTGTAAATTATGTGTTTTTGTCCATCCATGCCAGAGAAGTGACTCACAGGACTCCTGCGATCCACCAGAGAGGTCTTTGAGTTGTTCCAAGGAGGAGTGAATCCCGCCTCATCTTTTCCTCTGGGATCATGAGTGAAGTAGGCCCCGCTGTACTGCAGCATCTGCTTACCCAGGAAACCAGACATAGTTTGTGGTTTTGACAGTCCTGTGGATGCTATCGTCCCGTCCAATAGTGGCATCTTGCTTCGAAACACTGGGTCAACAAAGGTGTGCATTGACTGGCTGCTCATCATATAGTCCCTTGTGATGGTGCAATGATATAGCTCCAGACCTGAGAATATAGTAACAACAATTAGACACTGCCATTCATTATTTAATATCTATGCAAAATTGGTTCAAAGGATCAATCTTTCTAATTAGCTTGAATAAACTCCCACCTCAGACATCAGATAGGACAAAAAACACTTTTTGCACACATTAAGAGGTCCCAACTACCTTGAGGCATTTTATCAACATGGCGAATCTTGTGGCTTATCACATGTCACATAAACCCTTTTCAGCTGATGCACATAGATGGAAGCAAAATGCAACAAGCAGCAAAGAAGTAGAAATGTGCAATGATGATTCATAGCTTAGTCCATTTCCTAAGGGCCAATGTGATAGTTGCCACATTTTGCAATAAACAAACCAGCTTTCATGGTGGAGCCTACAGCTTTACCAGTTGATGTGATGGTGATATATTATCCATGTGTGATTAAAAGGAGTCTTCACTCTAAGGCCATGTCTGTATATATAACAATTACAATGGGACTGCATTACTGCGATACTGCATTCGAGTCATATTTGATGTTTTATGGTCTTACTATGGCTCATTTCAGATGTGTCATCCCAGTCACATCGAAGAGCTTCATTCTGGCTTTTACCAAACCAGAACTTATCCCTTCATCTACCATGCACTTCTCATCTCGGGTCAATGCCCTGAGAACCAACATTACAGTAGACTGGTTCAATTCTGCATTGTATTACCACAAAACCTGAGTCATGCCCTTGTTCCTTTTTCATACACTTCTCCCAAATAGAAAAATGTTCTACACTACTAAAATATATGTCCAGAACAATTATTGCTTAATGTCTTCAAGAAGTTAATTTCAGCATTGAAAATGTACTTGAACGATTAATCAATTATCAAAATAGTTGCTGATTAATTTTCAGTTGATAGACAGATTATTTAGCACTTTATAATATCGATCAACTTCCACATCAGTGAAGATAAAACAATGAAAATTCAAGCTTTTTTTTTTACCCCTTTAAAATCGTAGTATTTAGGCATGCTCAACTTCTATATCTGTATTTTCCAACAGGCACGTGAAGGCAGCATAATGCAACAGCTTGTGCGCAATTTAAACAGCTTGAGGCTGACAGTTTGGCGTAGGAGGAAAGATGACCTCATCAAGTGATGAACTCATAACTGCCACACAAACATCTGCATGAACTGGCAAGACATACAGCATGAAACATTTTAAAAGTTGTAGGTTTTTGTTTTTTTCTAACTTGCATTATTTGTTTTCCCACTAGTGGACACTCATTTTCAATAACCTCCTAAAAACTAAAAGATCACACTGCAAAACATCACTATCTTTTGACAGGGTTTAGGCAATGTGCATGGAGTAAACTGCTCAGGGCTGTTGTCAGATGACTGAAAGCTGCACTCTGTGAAGGGTGTCTGTGTGTGTGTGTGTGTGTGTGTGTGTGTGTGTGTGTGTGCATGCATGTGATCTGCATTCCCAGATCTGTAGAGTGATGTCATAGAGTGACTTCCGAAAGCAACCGTCCAAATTGACAAGCGGAGCCTTAAGCCACGTGGGAAAGGAGTGATTCGGGAAAAACAAATGTGTCTAAAAGTTATAATCTGGTGATTAATTGTCGGCGCTGTCAGGTTAAAACAAGTTGGAAGATGTCAGCAAGTTCACGTGACATGAAGAAAAAAAGTTTCTTTCCGGTAAAGTAGTCTAAATCTCAAAGTAACCAATAAAATGACTCAGTACAAACATAAAAGAGGAACTTATAAGTTCTGAGAAAAACTGTCTTCGCAGGTTCTTTTTTTTTTTTGTGGCGTTTATAGGCCAAATGGTTTTATAAAACTACATAAGAAAACAGTCGCGTGTTGCCCTGCCAGCATGACCAGCCTGCTCAAATGAACACAACGCAAATAATATGAAAATAGTATAAGCGCAAAAGCTCGATCACGGTGCAAGTGATTTCCATACACGCTGCGAAAGCGTCGCAAACCCACGGCAAAACTAAACCCACACTGTGGGCAAAAACTAAAAACACAGTTTCAAACACTTGCGATGCTTTGGCGACATCAAATAGTTTCACAATCTGTCATGCTTTCTAAGAGAATACACCCATGCGTGTGTGTTTGTTAAACACGATTTGAAGATATCATAATCTGTTGTTGATTTGGATTTTTGAAGATTGAGCAGTAAATCTGTTTTCTTACCTCGCTGCTGTGTTGACAATAAATGATTTCCACAAAGATTCCATGGAACACCACTGCTGAAAAAGGAGGGGGAAGTATCTGCGTGTAAACGGACCGGGTCAGTCCGGATGTGCCAAAATCCAACGTATTGAAACGAAGGCCAGCCAAGAGGTTTGGGCGGCTCATCCGAAGTCCATGCGGCTTTTGGAGAAGTTAACAAACTGAAGAAAAGACAAAAGGGAGGAGGATGGACTTTGATCAATAGGCGGAGTCACACCCTCTGTCTCTTCATGGCTTGTTGTCTACACATGTGATTTTTTTCCCGCTTTACACTCACTTTTATTGGCTCTTAATGTTCGGCTGCATGCTGATGCCACCTTAATTGTAATTAGAGTTTATTCATTAATTGACAGACAACACATCTGGATTTCTCAATCACCACAATTAAGAAATTATTTCACTCCATGGAAGTAGTTTTTCGAGTCTTTTTTTGTTGTTGCAACCATGCATCCATTTATTTTTTTATTTTTGTATTATTCACATAGCTATAAAAAGTATTTGGGACCTCCTGAAAGTTATCCCACTGCACTTTCACAACAAAGAGAACTATACAATATAGAGTAATGAATGGAATCAATCTGTTTAGCTTTTGATGACGAATAGGACACAAAAAAAACCAAAGAATTTGGAGTCCATTTCTATAATGATGAATGGGGAAATTAATTTAATCATATGTGTTTCCCTTAAAAAGCATAATTAGGCTTGCTATAATACGGCTAACGTTTCATGCATGCAGGTACCATGCTGTACTCAGACTGTCACAGGGTGCATGTCACCATGAACTGCAGTCTATATCACTTGTATAGACAAAAAAGAACTGCTGAAGAAACTCTCTAGCACAGAATCCCCATTTGTTTAGATCAGTTAATGGTTGACTTTGGTTGGCCAAAGTTAAAATCAGGTCGGCTATTACCTACGACAGAATTGCCCCACATTTGTGCATGAGCCTAGTTGATGTGTGTACACCATGATTAATGACAGTGTAATATCACAAGATATAGAGGCAGATCATTACACAAAAATACAGGCAATCCAGCATTATTGTAAGCTTAAATTCTTCCACTTGCTTGATTCAAACTCTGAATGGCTTAATTTCTTGTTGCACTTGCATCATACCAGTCCCTCCTCACCTGTGAGTTGGAGTCTAATTTGTGTGTCCTGTGGGACAGCCACAGTTTAGTCTAGACAAGTTGGTAGCTTCCATCAGTCCCTGTGGCCTGGCAGATAAAGAGACGCTCGCCAGGAGGTTTGACTGAGGAGAGGAGGCAGGAACCTTTCCCCACGGAGTGCTTTCACATCTCCCTTATTTCCAGTTACCATGGCATTACAGCTTAAGGCCAACCAACACAGAGCATTAAGGAGCGAACAGTGTGCCATGCGGATGCAGCAACACGAATCTTACAGGCAAAAATAATGCATTTAATGCTTTCAGTATTGTAGACTGGAAGGCAAATACACAGGCAGTGCAAAGTGTTGTCATTCATAATCCTTCCTGGGGACCCATTGGTAGCCAAGTTAGTAAATGATTACACCGAATGAAGCGGCTATTTTATTTCATCTTTCTTTTTTAATCTCCTGTTTCCTGATACGCAAATATTTACTGGTAGCATAATTGGCAGTACTGTCTTGTTGAAGGTTATTTCCCTCCATGAAACTTGCTTTTGTTAAATATCTAATATACATAAACACACCCAAATAATCCGTATCAAACATTTAGCAGATAAACGTAACCTTTTTTAGGATAAACAAATGATCTTGAAGGTTTGTCTTTCGCATGGGGCCATCAAAAACAGTGGTAAATGAACTGTTACAGAAAATATCATATCTTCACAGGACTTTTATTGGGATGTTTTACTGGAAATGAATAATATTTTATTATTATTATTACTTTATTGTTTATATTTATCCTGATGGAAAATACACAATTTTATAATTGCATTTGTTTGTAACATACAGTTCACTATAAGTACACATAATAAATATATTAAGTACAATATGTCACACGTTCACGTTACGTTCTAATTGTGTTTACCACTTTTAAAGTCAATAAGGTGAGATGTGGAGACACAGGGAGGAGAGCAGGTGATCTCTCAGGATGTAGTTTCTGATGAAACACTGTTGAACATTCCCAGAGGTCACATGTTGAGCCCGGAGACTGCTCGAGTTGCAATGGACAAACGAGACCCACATACATGCACGCACACTTGTGACACTGAGTGTTTATAGGTGAAATTCGTGTTTGTCATTCCACAGACTATGCACTGTGAAAAGTATGCACTCTGCAGTGTGGACATGATTAAATGAAGTTACTCATATCTGAAGGTAGCGGGCATAATGTAGTGATGAATTTTTTAAATGCTGAACCATTCCTTTATATTGAGATTGGAACGATAGTAGTAATTCGTTTGTTTTAAGTAACTCAGCTAATCATTTAACTGACAGTGACAGGGAAGTATGAAGGCAGTATGGGGATTGAGCTGATATGCTTTTTTATATTTCGATACGTAAGCCTTCATTTACAAAAGTGTTTATATTAGAATTTGTGGGAATCACAGTTTTGTCCTGCAATGTATTTTTGGGAGACTTTGTTAGTTAGTGAGCTCTTGTAATAAACATCTTTTGATAAAGGTTGTTTAATTAGCAGAGAAAAAGAGAAAGAAAACAAGTAGTCTTGAAAGCACATTGCATCCGAGTACAGCCTATCTGTAGTTTTGAGGATTTCTTCCATAGTTGTGAGAACGGGGTGTTATACACAATAGGCACACCTGCAGGCTGCCCAAGGTCTCAGCAACACCGCCCTTATCGTTGTGGCTGACGTAATGCTCTTTTGGCATCATTAACAGAATCACTCAGCAGCCAATAGCAGCAGGACAAGTTATGGCTCAGGGAAGAATGTTTTTTGTCTGGAGAGCCATTCACATGCCTCCATGTGCTGCAACCTCGACAGCTCAACAGTATCATTGCCCCCGGTTATTTGCAAACCAAATTCTCCCAGCCTCGCTGGGATTTGGTGCCAACAGACATTAACTACGATAAAATATAACAACCGGTATCTGGAGAGCATAGACAAACAAAACAACAGCAGCACAAGTGTTAGTTTTAAAGGAAGAGTTGACTGTCTCAGGGAAGAGATATTTCAATGTTTTGGATATAAGTGCATGTTTACAGCTTGATGACAAAGAAATACATTTAAGGATTCACCGGTGATGCATGTTTCCAAAAACAATAAAAGGTATAATATAGAGGAATTTAAATCATCAACTTTATAATAACAGCGCTGAGTTGTGTTTGTGAATTTGTTTTGCAACTATGTTATTGCCAAATGTTTTTGTTCTCTGGATGACAATGTTTGAGTATTTAGATCTACTCCTTGTTCAACATGATAATTAAGCAGAGCAGACATATCTCCAAGGCTGAGCTCTTTACCGTTTAGCTAAAGCAAGACAGTTGTTACTATCTGCTTTCCCTCACTAACATATAAACACAACATTGTCTGGTTTGACATTCTCTTGTGGCTTCTCTTGACACAATGCAGACTGGTTTGTTATGATGAAGTGTTTTCACAGAGATAAACATGTGAAACTATGTCAAACATGGGTTTCATCACTTTTGACCTCTGTTGCTTTCAGTCATGGCTAAGAGCACGTTGTATAATTATCAAGTACCGTGTATCATCTCATCTAAGCCACAATAATATAAGGACCCTTTTCCAAATTATTAATCAGAAATATTGTCTCCATAAGTTAAATAACAGTTGATCAAATTAAGACACTATTTGTACCCAATCGTCACTGAATCTGTGAAAAACATATCTCAGCTGACATTTTAATGTGTCCTGCTGTAAAGTCAGTATGTCAAAGTGCCTTATGGAAAACATATTTGAAACTACAACAACTCAGGCAAGAAGAATGTTGTTCACACTAAAATTGACAACTTAATGAGCACATGCATGTATTGACTTTTTAGTACATAATGACCAGTTTGCTGTATCTTTTAACCTGATCATTTAGTCTCCCCATTGTCCCCATTAGTCTAACCGACTACTGTCCACAACAATTTCCAAAATTGGTCCAGTGTTGAGGAAGAACACAATGTAAAGTAATCCTATGGGGGCAAGCTGGCACCATCATATACGTCCACTAAAAGTGCTTGTTTTTGCCACTGACAGCCTCTGATTGTTATTATAAGTACCTGACATTATGGAGAGAGTCTCACTCTATTGTATGGTTGAAATACAGGGGAAGTTGAACATAATCAACATGGTTCTGGATGCTGCAAGGAGATTGTATCAACTGGGTTTGGGTGGACGGGATCACTTTGAATGGACAGTATACTCAACCAAGAAAGAACAGTAATGGACCCATATACGATAATTAAATGTATTTCTTTGTCATCAAGCTGTAAACATGCACTTATTTCCAACACATTCAAATGTCTCTTCTCTGAGAAAGTCAATCATTCTTTTATGACCAAGATTTATATTATTATATTAATATATGACAAACAAAATCAAAATCTCAAAAGGTGACGTGTTGCCGGAAGACAACAATGGAAACGTGAATGCCGTTGGGACGAGACTGGTTTTGAATGAACTGGGTATATTCACGTGCGTAATAGGCAGGTAGTGGCCTTTCTGGACCCATATTGTTTTTACGGTGTCTTTGGAAAGACTATAATAAACGGAAGAGTTTGCTGTAAAATGAACAACTCATTCGTGTGGCTGTGGTTGAGATGCCGAGGACACTTAACGAGGACAAGAGTGAACGACACAGTTGGTGGTAGGTGTCGATGCCTGTTCAAAGCACTCACGTCAAAACTGTTCCGTTTATAGTCTTTCAAAAGACACCGTAAAAAGAACGAGACACAGAGGATCATCGATCTGAATGTTTACTTCCTGGTTAGTCGACATAGGCCCCTAAAGGCCGGCCCACTCCTACGACATACCTGCCTCACGCACGAGAAAATAAACCAGTTCATTAAAAGACAGTTAACCTCGCACACCTGTGGTCACACACACACCGGATAAGTTTGCCTTCAGGGCTTTCTACCTATCTGATCCAAAATATGATCTTGTCCGAAATGTAACCACGTGGGGTTGTTTCCGAGACCTTATAGGAGATCCCTGCCAGAGAGAGGCAAACTTCTCAAATGTGTGTGCTTGGCTGGGAAGAGTTTGTGTTTCAGTACAGAAATAATCGTAGCTCAGTGTCATTTAAAAAGATTTTTGGTGTCATGATTGACTATTTAGATGATTTTGACAATGGGCATGAGATCCTTGAATTCGATGGCCGCCTGTATTTATGTGAGCCTATATGTAGATAAAGAGCTGAGACAAACTGAAGAACAGACAAGGAGAGAGAAAGAGGGGCAACAGGAAGAGAAGGGTGAACCAGCTGCTTCAAGGCCGCCAAGCTCTGGAGACTCCTGGTGTTCATGTAGGTGTTGTGGCTTTATAAGGTCCACAGAGGAAGAATGCTGCAAAGAGTGGGACCTGCTGCTGCTCCACATTCAGATTTATCCTTGAGTGGGACTTGGAAACAAGAACAAATAGGCCGGATGAAGCAAAAGGTAAAGAAAAACGTTTTATTTCCCTGTAGAGTCATTTTCCATGATGCTGTTTTGACACTGAAAAACAGAAAACTGGACCAAAACTGGACAAATTCCAGAAAAAAATGTCCCTATTAGTCACTTGAATACAAAATATGGGAAAATGGGGTCCAACGTTAGTCTTGAAAGAAATTTTTTTTAATACAAAACATATACAAACACGGTTAGAATCCCTTTTGAATCCAAATTATCCAAATTGATTTCATCTTTGACACTGTCAGTATTCTTTCCAAATATTTTCTGTTATGTATAACAAGTGGAAATACACTTTCACACATTTGCAGGTTGCCCTGAAACAAAACTAACAGAAGAGTCAGGAAGACACCAGTATTATTATACACCTGTGCAATCCCAACAAGAAGAGGTGAAATGGATGAAAACAACTCTGTGAGTTTGTGTGTCCTTGGAGCTTTGGACACAAACTCATTTTGAAGACATGTCATCATGCTTTAATTTCTATTTGTTTTGGTGCTAGCTGAATGTATAATACAATGTTATGTGCATGTTGTCGGAGATGTCTCATCTGGTTTCTGAAGATACTGATTAACAACACTGACAATAGTCGATACCTCTGCCATGGCCCCTTTACCTGCAACAAAGTAAAGAATTACAGAGTTACACAAACATTAGCAGCCAGTGGCCTGGAAGTGACAACACAATGAAGACACATACCTGTTCTTACTTCTTATGCACATTCTCCATACTCACAAACACACTTTGATAAACATATTCTCTACATTCCCAGGGTTTGCATATCTAAATCTGTGCTGGCCGGGTCATTTAAATGTATCAAGGGGACACCCCCCTATCAGAGACGCAGCATTTTTTAACTCTCATTGACACAAGACACATGACAAAGAAAGTAGTTTACAAAGCAGAGGAGTTAATCAAGGACATAAAAAAACAGTGCAACCTGTTGATATGCTTGAAGAAATAAGTGTATTCTCCCCAAATCAATTCTGGCATTTGGCACATTTTTGAGAACAATTTGTCCTCTGCTGTACGAGTTGGTACATGACTGAGTTGATCAAACAATCTAATCTTACTTAATGGATGTCGCTTCGAAAAACAAACATCCCTAACCGCTTTGGGTCCAACCTCATTTCAATTTGTTGGAAACAGAAGTAAGTTAAGTAGTAGACTCTTAACTGAAGAGCTCATTCTTAGGGCTTTAAGAGTTTTAAGTATGTTCTAAGGAAAAGCACAAATATAACTGATGAGCTAGTAGTTACATCAAGGTTAGGCTTTCTCTGGTTGAAAGCTTGAAGTCTGTGGTCAGATATGACCATAAGGTACATGCAACAACTTTACTTATTATTTTACAATTACTGCCATTGAGGATGACTTATGTCACTTAAGGTAAGAATTATTTCTTGATTTACCTGCATACTTAAAACAGTTATCTGTTATAATCTATATAATGGAAGCACTTTAAGCTAGAGTACTGTTTATGCTTCCAATGTGTCCTGTTGTGTCCTGCATTCTGAGACATCTCAAGGTAAAAGTAGAGGTTGTAGATACTTAATATCTTCTGGTTACTTCCTTGTATTTAAACCCACCTTCATCTCCACATACTAGCTTTTTAGCAATGCAGGGGATTTCCACATATCCAAACTCTGTTAGCCTGGATACCTGCTGGGCTGTGATGGGATGCTGCCACATAGCTGTATTCATTGCGGGGCAGAAGAGGAGAGGGCGACTGGTATCCCAGGCTCTTACCACACATGTCTGCCAAAGACAATAATCATATTGGAAATAATTTCATAGAAATCATGTTATGAATTATTATTTGCCATAACATTTTGTAGGTAATCACTTAAGAATTTCATCTTCTTACCAAGAGATTGTCACAAATACCATTTGCAATCTTTCCAAGAGTGTTGGCATCAAGGGGGGCAATGACGAGTAGATCTGCCCAGCGCCGTAGTTCAATGTGCAACACGGGATCAGTTCTCCGAGTCCACAGCTAGAACAGAGACATGCTGTCAGGAACACAACCAATGACACACACTTCCTCGTGGCATGACACTTTAGACCAGTTTCAAAATCACTCAATGGCATTTTGCATTTATTCTTTTAAGTTTCAAAAGTTACATTTTAATGGCATACAGCGACCTTAAAATGGACTGTGTGCAGATATGTCACTTATTTCACTTATTAATTACTAAAAATACACCAGTTATTAAAATATAATTTTAAAAAAGCTTACACAATCCAGTCAGCTGATCAGAAGCAACACGTTTGAGAAACTCTGCTATAGACTGTCAGTAAAGAATGGCTACACTAGGACATTTAAATTCATTGTTACCTCCCACTCATCCACGTCACTGTAGATTTTTACTGAAACCTCTGCAGAGTTGTAGAAGTGCTTGGCATGCTCTGTGGTGACTACTCTTACATCCACCTAAAGCATAAAACATACAGTAACAGTCACGGGGTTGTTAAAGCACTTATTAGTATTGCTATAGTGCTGAAGAGGTGGAAAACTAAGATGAGACTCATACACATGTTGAGTAACTGATCTTATCTTGGAGACTATTTATGGGTCTTACATTTTAGAAGAACTTAGGCACCTTTCACAGAATTGTGTTGCAATATTTTCACAATAACACCGGGCATGTGGTTTTGACTGCACCTCTAAGGACCTCATGATGATACACTTATCATATTAAGGATCACTTTTTATGATTTGTTTTTTTAATGACAAACTATAGTAATACTTTTTTAAACTATCATTTTTATGAGTTTTTTGTATGTTATACTCTACTATGACTTTTTATGACGCACTATATTATGACTTTTTCCATTATATTTATTATTAAAAACTGTTCTAGATAAATTCATTACTTTGTGTAATTCCCAGAGTTTGAGTTTCTCTCATGCTGAATGATCTATGCAACTATTTAGGATGGTTACAGCTCTCAAATGTGTTTAGTATAACAATATAAAGCCCTAACACTGTCCTTATTCTATGTATTGTATAACATTTCTCACAATAATACAGATATCTCTCTTACTGTCATTTGTGAGGCTTTAAACCATAACGTATCTGACTAATAGGACTATAATAAGATGTTTTACACAGCTGGCTTACAGCTGCAATATCTCCATCTTGCGGCAGGAGTGAGTTGTGCGCTCTGCCACGTGGGGAAACAATAATGTGTGAGGGTGCATTGGCATCTACTAGGTTTACAAGTAACTGAGACAGACACAAGACACGCTCGTTAACAGCAGGCTCTGAATAAAAAGAATGAAGGCGGAAGTAGCTCACCCCAGGGAGCTGAAGGAGCTGGGATACTAAAATAGGCAGTTTCAATGATGCGACGCTTCCCGTCACGCCAACAAGAACACGAAATGTCCCGCAAGATCTCGACAAATCAGTTATTAGACCGTCAACATGCTCCGCTATCTCCATATTAGTATATCAACAAGAACAGATCGACAAACTGTCGCTCCCTTTAACACCTTTTCACTATTTCCGTAAACATTCACCTGCCAGCCAATCAGAGGAGAGCACAACCAACGTCTCTTTCTCCTGCACGAGCACGTCGCTACATTGAGGGATTGTGACCGCGCGTTCGCGGAATATTCTGGGTATTTGCTGAAGAAGCCCTTGCACGCCAGTTAGCGTGAAGCGATAAGACCATTCATTGTTCGTCCAGCCTGGTATTTGTTTGAACCAACAACAACAAAAAAACGGAACAAGAGCTGATTGGCTCTTAGATTTTCCTTAGTGGAAAAGGTGGGCGATCGTGGCTCACTTTGTTAAGAGGGTTGTTTGGTGACTACAAGGTTGGTTGTTCGAACCATGGCCTTTGACGTGTCGCATGTCAAAGACATCCCACTGCTCCCCATATTTAGGGATGGGTCAAATGCAGAGACAAATTTATCCTTAATTAACAGGATAAATATAGTATAAAAAAATGTAAATCCTAATTGTCTGTCTAATTGTAATACTTAACGCTAGATTGTTGGCTTAATAGCCATCTAGTCTCATTTTGTGCAATAACAATAATAATATATAAGGTTATTTATTTAGCATCTGTAAATAAAGATATTTATTGCGAAAGCCTACATCCTACTTGATGTCAACATGTTTTCAGTCAGAGCACTGAATGTGTCCATCGATTAATGATTGTGAAGCATCACAAAACATATTCAAAGAAAAGCACAATTGTCACTGATGGAAACTTGCAGCGCTGCTTTTCCTCCGTGTGGAGCCTGTTTATGTAGCTGTGATGTTTGGACTGTTGGTTCAGTTTTTAAATTTCTTAAATTTACGGTTGTATGATTTAGAAATGACGCTATCTTCACATATATTTATTTATATACATGTTTAAATAAATATGACATCCAATAACTGAAATATGCCCAATCTTATATCCTCAATTATAATAATAACATAGTTAAATATATAAAAAGACATCCAAACTTAAAGACCAGCAATTTTGGGGTTAAGTGTCTTGCTCAAGGACACATCGACATGCTCCTAGCGGAGCCGGGGATCGAACCGCCGCTCCTCTCATTGAAGACTCTGACTGAACAGTTCCCTCTGTTATTAGAAAGCATAATAATGGAAAGTGTAAATTTTGTGGAGAAGAAGAAACCGTGGACCATGTTTATTGTCCTGTCAGAGGTACGAGTCAGCGAGAGACGTTTTGAAAAAAGGTCTAAGAGAGATTGGAGAGGAAAGCTTTAGTGACAAATGTTGGAAACTTTTTCTGGAATATTTAGAGTCAACAACACTAATGAATATAATTTGAGAAAGAAATGTATTATTATTTATTTTTTATATCTATATATATATATATATATATATATATCTTTATTCATTTACACACATATGTATATGTATGTGTGTGTATATATGTATGTATTTATTTTCGTTTGGTTGTCGTATTAGAGTCCTTAGTCCAGACTCCAGATCAGTGGGAGGCGGTAATACACCCGAAAGCTGTATGCCAACCGCCAAAAAAAGCAAAAGAAAGAAGAAGAAGAAGAAGAAGCAGGCGGCTGAAAACGGTCCGACTTGAACGCAGTTTTTTGTCAACGCCCCTTTCTACGTACGCCTGCTCTCGTCTGCTTTCCAGGCGAGGCGCAGTTCAACTCGAACGAGCCTAATGCCGCTCACGCCTCTCGTTTATTGGGCTCAACGCCATGACGACATTTACCTGCGAGTGGAGCTGACGGACGCTCAGGTGAGCTAACGAGACAGGACCTGCAAACTACCTGCACTCACTTCTATCTATCTATGGCTCGTGCACTATTGTATGCCTCTAAAACTAAATATTAGATTAAGCAAATGAAGGGTGCAGGTTCCTGAAAATGCCACACCGCTGGGTAGCTGCACACTTTGCATAATGGAATGGAAAAATGCGTGTTGTTGTTAGGTGATAGTTGATATTTTAAAAAGCCCTCTGCTAAGGCCTGATATTGTTAATCAGGTTTAATCGCACAAACCCTGTGAAGAGATGCGCTACTTTAGAGACGAGCATCATGGTTTTAAGAACGTGTGTGTGTGTGTGCGCGCGCACGGTCAGTTGCATGAGTTGAGGTTATTAAGGCTAAAGGGCAGGTGCTGCTTCATCCAAAGATATCAGGCTGCCTGAAGGACACTCTTCAGCACACTTTTGTTTACTCCTGTCTAAATGTTGGCATCATAGTCATATAGTTTGTTTTTTATAGTACTGTTTATACATGTACATGCAAACAGTAACATGAACAAGAGCTGATTCAGGGTGGATAATGTGTGAAACGGGTCATTTCCTCAATCTTCTTTAAACAAGGAAATGATTGTGGCTCATTATTAAATGTCACTATGGTTGATGGATTGTAGATTGTTAAACTAGCCTTAGCTTTGTTTTGAATATGCCTAGACTTTGAATAGACCTTAATATTGTCTCTTCCGCTGTAGTGTGCACCAGTTGTAATATAATGCTTGAATTCTAACTCTTAAGAGGAAGTATAAGCTCATCATCTGCCTTTCTGCTTCTTTTTTGCAGAACATCGATGTCCAAGTGCATGAAAAAGTGCTTCAGTTTAGAGGTGACACACACACTTCATGTTCATTTCTGCAATGAAAATGTTTCTAGAAGTTCATGATTTGTAACATTGTTGTGGTATTTTGTGTGTAGCCCAGGGCCATGGTGCAAAAGGACAAAATGAATACGAGTTCAGTTTGGAGTTTCTTTTACCGGTAAAGTCAGAGGTATGTCTCCATTTAAAAATCAGTCCTACATATTTCCTTTTTTTTTTTCTACCTGTGCCTACTGGTTTTGTTGATTGTGCTCATTAACTGTGCGTCCAGGTGAGCCACAGGTCCACGCAGCGGCAGGTGAATATCACTTTGCAGAAAGAGCAGCGAGGCTGGTGGGAAAGACTGACGCTACAGGAGCGCAAACCACTCTTCCTGACACCAGACTTCGACCGCTGGCTGGACGAGTCCGATGCTGAGATGGAGATCCGGGAAAAAGTGAGATTCATGTTTTTGTTTGCATCTGAGGGACATTTACACGCACCGCCCTGTGCATTTGACAGCTGTATTAAATAACAATCAATATTGCAAACTGGCTAAGAATGTACTATTGATAACAAGGCCAAAGATTGAACACTTGTATACATATGTTTTACTTTGTTAAGGAGGACAAAAGGAACATGCTGAAGGCTTCAAGGCACGAAGAGGAAGGTGAGTGCAAATCTGTCCGAGTTAAGAGTTTCAAGCAAGTTGTCAGTTGCCTCAATGTTTTCTCTTTCTTTCAAATGTTTCAGGGTTCGTCAGCCTGACAACAGGATATTTGTTTGTGTATAATCTGGTTCAGTTTCTTGGCTTCTCATGGATCTTTGTCAACATGACCGTGCGGCTCTTTATCTTTGGCCAAGGTGAGGAAACAGACGAGGCTTAACTTTCTATTTGTTTTTCCTTCTCTGATCAATTTCTTCTCAAAAACCCGGCAACACCGATCATTTCTAACTCTCCTCTCAGATTCTCTGTATGACACATTTCACACCATATCGGATGTGATGTTCTTCTGCCAGACCCTGGCCTCAGTAGAGGTCATTAACGCTGCTTTTGGTGTAGTCCGGACGGGTGTTATTCCGACTCTTATACAGGTATGGGTTGCTCATTCGTTTGATGTGCAGTGACACCTGCTTGTTGTAACCGTGCCAATACGTTTCAAGTGTAACAACTATTTTTGTTTGGGTTTTGTTCTTCTACTAGGTGGTTGGAAGGAATTTTATTCTCTTCATCATTTTTGGTAGTGTGGAAGAAATGCACAACCAGCCAGTCGTGTTCTTCGTTTTCTATCTGTGGAGTGCCATTGAGATTTTCAGGTAATTCTGCATCTGCCTTAATCTATATGTTTGAACTGTCTTTCATGCTTTTAGGTTGTAGAGAGTCCTCTTTAAAAAATGATAGTCTGTATGAAGGGTTTGCAAAACAAAAATGTTTTGTTCAAAATGCTGTGGGTTCAAGCAAACTGACCATTGAAAGGGCAATTATACATGATGGTGTATATGCCATCATAAATGACAAACATTTGATGATTCCAGGTTCTCAAATATGACAATTTTTTGCAAGCAACTTGAATATTTTGGGGTTTGGACTGTTAGTCAGACAAAAAATAATAAGCAGATGATTTTGGTATTAAAAATAATTCTTAGTTGCAGTGTGTCACGACCCTCAATGCAATGAGCTGCATGAACGAGTGGTGAACTCCCAGAACTGGAATTGTCATAATTGCCAGCTAACAGAAAGCACCAAACTACCATAAGCGCTAAGCTGTAGTAGCCTAAAGGTTCCCCTGACAGATGTGCAAAGAGGCAACCAAACTACCACTCAACTCACCCAATCAAGGCCCGAGCTGTAGCGCTTATGTTCCTGAAGGTAACAGGCCAAGTTACCAACTTGCCTGTCACCGCACAAATACAAAAACCTGTTCACCACATCCCTCCTTTTATTACCCACTTACTTACCCTATGAACTATGAATACCTACTGTGCAGCAGCAGTCTTCAGGCTCCACCTGCAAGGTAACTGGGTCCAATACCCAGACACCCAACAGGCTGTGCAATGCTCTTGTTACAGAGTCCAGAACATGACCACCAGAATACAAAACCAGAAACCAAAACATGCAGTTATCAGGAAACACCAGAAACTAGTTTCCCCTCAATAAAACCAGGAACAGAATTTAACACCACAGCAAGAGCAGCCCATACACAGCCAACATCACTGCCTCCATGTCCCTCTGACTGCCTAACCAGAGACTAACTAAACTCCCCCCTAGTCTTCAGGTGCTACTTATGCACCAAAACCCGCAGGCCCGGTAAAGCAACCAGGAACTGGCCACCCACTTGCAGCCTCGGACGTGCCCCCGAGACAACTGCTCTAACCACTTTCACGCCACACTACAGAAACCCCCCAACGGCCTCCAAAGGGAGTCCGCTCTTCAGCCTAACAGGGACAGAACAGCAGCAACTTACTCAGTGTCTACAGGACCACCTAAACTCTGTTCCGCAAAAACCACCAGCATAGCACATGCTCAGTGACAAACACTCCTCAGGAACACTGATCACTACAGCTGCTACAATAACCAAACACAGGAAAACAGCCTACTCACTAAACTCGTCCATGTCTCCCAACAAGCAGATTGTGCAACCGCTCCACACACAGCACGCAGCCTACAATGCTACAGCTGCTACTAATTCGAATTACTGCAGACACCAGGTCAATCAGAAGTGGACGAGCCCCCATATGTCACGACCCGGCTCAAAAAGTCGTAACATGAGGGAGACAAGACGAGTGATAAGAGCAATAAATAGACATTTATTTAAAGTACAACTAACTAACTAAACCTAACTAACTAAACAAGGTAGCAGTCAGAGAGGAACCCAGCCAAAGAAGAGGGGCAGCCTTTATAGCTGGGACCAACCCAGCAGGCTCAGGTGGGGCTCGTTAGCTGCCGATCAACATCCTGGAAGACAACCTGAGAGGAAACAGACACAGACCCCTGGTGGAAGGGAGGGGTCGTCACGAGTGTTACAACAGAAGGTAAAACGGTCAACACAACAGCAGCACTGTAAGGCAAAGTGCAAAGTGCAGAAGCAATGCAGGTGCAGTTTGACAGGTTTTGAGGTCAAGGGTTACAATAAACAGGTCATTCAGGCTCCATTGTTATGAAGACGGACTGTTATTAATGTGTCAGTTGATTAATAACACATTGTTTCTTCATGATGCTCCAATTTCAGGTATCCATTTTACATGCTGGGCTGTTTCAACACAGAGTGGAAAACCCTCACATGGCTGCGGTACACGATCTGGATACCGCTGTACCCATTAGGTGTTGTAGCTGAAGGTGAGCTTGTTTGTTTCTCTCAGAATTACTAATTCTTCATACAAGTACTGAAATGTATCTCCCAATCCCACGTAGCTGTTGCTGTGGTCCAATCCATTCCCATCTTTGACGAGGCCAAACTCTTCCGCATTCCTCTGCCCAAAGCCGTCGGTACCTCCATCAGCTTCTCTTGCGCCCTGTACGTCTATCTCGTCCTCATGTTTCTGGGTAAGTCTTCATATGAAACATTAATCATATGTATATATTCAAGCAAAGAGTTTGTTCTAATGTCAGCATTTTTGTTCTGATATCAACGTTTTGGTTTACCTCTTCAGGACTCTTTATCAACTTTCGTCATCTTCACAAGCAAAGGATGAGGCGTTTCCGTACCAAGAAGAGGAAAGCAAATTGAGCTTCAGCACCAACAACAACACTCCTCTGACACCTTTGCTGCCTGCTTGTTTCTGGATGACATGTTTAAAATTATACTCAACAGTGTTCCAGTCAAATTAGTAGTTTTTGTTACAGGAAGTTGTTTTTCTTTAATTTGTGGTCAACATGAACATCCTCTATGATGCAATATTTCATCATTGCATTGACTTTCATAAACTGGTGATTAATTTCTTTAAGATGTAAGTTCGTATTTCGTAGATAAGAAAAGCACTATAATAAGCCATAGAAATTGATATCTATCCTTTTGTGATACTGTTTCCTTTGCAGTGGTATTGTTAGTGTTATTTGAGATACAGTCATTTGTGTATGAAACAAGAACAAATCTCAAGAAATACTTTAATTGTTAACATTCCAGATTTTTGAACCGTCCAACAAACCTCAGGAAAAACGACTCTGGTTACTTCTAAAATCTGAACATTTTGTGTCACTTCTGCTCAATAATATCCTGCTATGTAGACTTTGTATGCCTTCCCCGCTTTATTTCATTATTTTCACCTGAATTTTAAATGCCAACAATAACAGTCATTTCACAGGTTTCTTGTAAATGTTATTTGACACTGAATAAAAAAATGTTATCTGGTCAATTTGTGGAAACGGTCATACAAAGAAACATGTTAAAAAAAAAAAAGAAAACACCTATTTTACAAACACCTCATCACCTCAGTCAAAGGAGTACGTTATCAAACAGACTCCTTTAGGTTCACTTAGATTTCTTTAAACCACATAAAGCACACATACAGGCTGAGGGTACTATATTTTAGGTAATTACTAATTGAGACGTGGCTCAGCTGGAGAAGTCTGTGTGCATTGGAGCAATGTTGTGATCGAAAGCAGCATACTGGGAGTCACCAGTGCTGGCCAGTTTGAGTTGCTGTGCAGCGTGGGAGAGCTGGAAAGCGGCATCCGGGTGGGCGGAGTCTGGCAGCAGGGTGCACTCTCTCTCCAACAGGTCCGCCACTCCCTTCAGGAGCTCCCAGAAACCAAAAGCCAGGGCGGCCTTCCGAAGACGGTTTAGCTCCTGGCAGATCCAAAAATCAAAACCGTAAGTTAAATTAGGAAAGTGATGGGTTGAGTTCATAGTTCAGAGCCATTTCCAGCTTGATTTACCTTGTAGAAGGTTTGAGTTTTATCTGGCAATTTCCTTGCATTCCTCAGGATCTTCTGGACATCAGTCTGTGGAATGACAGCATGATAACTTAAGTGAATGATGAGCAGAAATATGTTTGGAATAACATCTCAGTGTGTTCAAGCTTTATTCAGTAAATTTAGCCAGTTAATTACTCTCTAAATTGAAACTGTGCTACTATTAATTGAGGAAGGCCCGAGCTGCAATGCACTGAGAGAAAACACTCCCTCCAGTCTCTCTTATGTACCACAACATTTAGACTTTAGGAACACAAACCAAGGACGGCAAGTTTTTATGACTCAACTGTCGTTTCCCTTGTAACTTCAACAAACAGCGGCGCTTGAATACGGTGACTTTACTTTACCTGTAGTCCACTGGCCTTAATCCACACAGTGACATTCTGGGCGTAGCTTCGTTTGGCCGAGGGCTGCAGAGGGAAAGGACTTTTACTGTCGTCCTCTCCGTAGGGATTTTCAGCAGCCTCTGAAATACCAGGACGGCCGTGAAACATCAGAGAGAAGTCGGTATCAGGATCAAAGTCAGAAAACTGTAAATTATTAACTGCTTGATTATAAACAGAAAGGCCTTTGGTCTTTAGGAAAAACAACAAGCAGTTAACTTTACAAGGGTTATCATAGTGGGTCATCATAGTGGGTCATAAGTTACATTAAAATGCAGAGTTTTACAATATCCCAAACGTGTCATACACGGAAAATGATGCGTTCAGGAACAAGACGCTACGGAGTATATAAGCAGTGCAAAAGAGACGATGGCGATGTTTTGTTCTACAACATGCTGTGTGCTTGTTTGTGTCTGCAGAGAAAACAGGAGAAGTGAAGGCTTACCTGATATTGGTCCCAGATGTGTGATCTTGCCCAGCCAAGGCAGAGGTTCTGGACCGGGCTCAAACAGAGACATCATCAGGTTTGATTTCTTTTTACTGTCAGCTTGGGAGTACAGCATGCCGTACCATTCCGGCCTGAGGAAAAGCTAACTTTTAGGGCCATTTCTTCATTTACTCTGCAGGTGTGTTCAAATATAAATGCACTCAATTTTGAACAGAATTCGAATATGTTAAATATAAACGCTCTGCTGCATCTCACCCCAGCTGAACCAGTGCCACCATGCCCTCCACTTTCAGGCTGCCATGTAAAAGTACACAGAAATTTGGACTTTTGCCTGCCATTTGACTGGCAGAGGGTTCCTCCTCAAGCTCATCTGTGGTTCCTGTGCCAACTTCATCCACCTCTGAAAGCAATACAAATAAAACACATTGAAAATACCAAAATATTGCATACTGAGGGCTCATTGACTTTGATTTTTGTGTTTTAAAAAAAGAGGTTTACTTTTGACAATGGAAGGGGACAATAAGCTGTGTAAAAAGTATTGATCTGTTGCGTTAACAGAAGCTTGTTTGTGTTCTCTCCCCATTTGTCTTATATATTATATTATACATTATAATATGCTGTCCTTGTTGCAAATAGATGTGGATGATTTTAAACAATCTGCTGCTTTAAACGGAATCGGCATATTTTCTGTTAAAATTAGTTACACCAAAAGCAAAGAGCTATACAGCTGATCTGTCTATGAATGTTTAGTTTTTCTTTAAAACAACACAACACATGTTCAACACTAACCTTTGTTTACATTAATGGGCAACACCAAGTGTCTAGAAATAACAGGAGGACTGGAAATGTCAGCAATTTCAATGAAGCCGACAATTTCCAAATCTGAAACAAGTATAACAGAATAAAGATGTGATGAAGGGAAAATTGTTGAACTTGAACTCTCAATTGTGAAATTCGAAGCCAGTCGGGTACCAGTATTGACTGATCGGGGCATGGGTTCCACTTCTTCATCCATCACAATAGGCTCAGGCCGAGGGAACACCTGAACGTCCGAGGACAAGTTCCCACAGTGCAGCACAGCATGGAGGGGAGTGTACGCGTGATCAATCAGCCTCCTGAAGACACACAAACACATTCTCCGAAAGTAAATATATAAACATTGAAATGTACATTTCTTTCTGGATTATTTCCCAGTAAGAGTCATACCCAAACATGGCCTGTACACTCTTCATGCAAAGAGGTCCCTCCGTAGTAAAGATCTGTCCATCACCTCCGCTGAGACGAAGTAGCTCCTCCAAGTTGTCCATGGCATCAGTCATCTGTAACTGCAATAGCACAAGACAAGGATTTCTTCAACAATATCGAAGCTATCAAGGCCCAGTAGACCGTAGATCGTCTTTATGACCAGCTGCTTCTGGTCGCCTGGTATCTGATCACATTTCCTCCATAGTTTTACACTGACTGTGTTCAGGTCAAGATGCAAATAAGTAGAAATCAATTGTTCACTCAGTCAGTACCTCCTCTGCATTGGCTACAGACATGATGAACATTTTGGTAGGGAAGGGGAAAGGGAGTGGGAACTTCTTGTCATCCACTCGATGCTTCAGTGTTTGGAGGGAGTGACGTAGGGAACCCTTTCCAATACCAAGAGATCCATCGGTAACCAGCACCACCTGCAGGACAGAGGACGGCGGTACATAAACATAACCCCATGCAACAATAGATGGGTACAGATGGATGAAACCACAATGAACACATTATTTGACCGCACACCAGCTGTATTAAGGAGGTGTGATGATGAAGATGATGTATAAAGGACCTGCCAATTTACCTGACAGGGACAGGCACTGCCCCACTCCTGCTGTACCACATTACTAACTCCATTAAGAGCTGATTCCAGACATGTCTTGTCATAATCTTCCAGGTTGCTCAGAGCCTCCTGTGCACAAAAATACATTAATTAAGTTAATCCGCAACTCTTCTCCAATGTTACATCTCGTTTTCTCCAAAACGAGAAAAACATGCTTTGACTTTTCAGATTGATTTCTCATATGAGGATATTTTATTTATTTATATTTGTACCTGTAATGCATTGTAATCTCTGGTGAAAGGCACCAAGAGCTCCCAGAGGGAAGAAAAGGCCATCAGTGATGTGAACTCCAAGCGGTAGTTTGAGGCCATGTGTTCAAACAACATGTTCAGTCCGTGGACAGCCAGGTTCTTCCTCTGAAACTCCTCGCTGCCATCCAGCAACACTGGCCGTGTCATGGACAGAGACACGTCCATTAGGACCACGGTAGGCATGGCGCACTGATTGAATAGATGACCAACAACACAATGGACTTATAGTACCCACCAATGTGCTCTCACTGAATAAAAAAAAGAATTAAGAGGAAGATGAGAAGTTAGCAAACGTAATATTACATGGTGTCACTTACTGTCTCTGGGGACGTGCTAAGAAACTACGAACATTAACGACATTAAAGCTAAGAAAAGAAACAAGTCACAACCTATGATCACAGCAGAGGTTAGCAAATGTTGGCTAACATACGCTAGCATTCTGTAATGTAACACCGGAAGACCAAACAGTTCTGTTGACCATTTAACAATTGTGAGAAGATAACTACCTTTAAGTTAAACTATGAAATGAGTAATTAATATGATAACAACTAAATGTATACGTGCCATTCAACGTTTTGCTCGCCATCAGTGTTTGTGTGTTTGACTGTGCACCACTACTTCCGTCCGGGCGACAACAATGTACTTTAGAATAACTAGTTCCTGTATATTCTTTGGAAGTTTCACATTTCTGTGCTGAAAAATCTACAAGAACGCCATGCCCCCATTTCAGATAATAGTATTGTACCCCTCTACTTTTTACAGTCCAAAAACTAACGTTATATTAAAAACAAACAAGCGTAATAAGAAAAAAAAAAACAGAAACTTGGCACGCATTAGGACCACGGGAACCAGCGACCGCAAAAGCTCCCAACTTCCCCTCTCAATTTATTTTGCATTGAGGAAGGAAAGTATAAAGCCTTGTTTGAGTTTAATAAATATTAGATTTATATTTTGTTTAGTTTGTTTAGATTGCTTGTTTTCTCCTCTGGCCCACATTCCAGCTACCGCCATTAAACAAAACGAAGAAGAACTTTACCCTTGCTTTTTTTTTTTTTTAGCAAAACCACCCGAAATACAGAAGATACGACATTTTTTCAATAAAAAAGAATGAGTGATATCTTCAGGCATAATGTGTTAGCCAGGAAACGTCACGTTGCGAGATCAGAGTGAGATCATGTTTGGCCAAAGAAAATGACATAATTGAATGGCTGTTATGTCATAACATGTCGAATAGGCACACAGTAAGTCCCCCACAAGTGTCAAGTGTCCGTCTCAGGCTTCATAAATTAATGTTTATGCTAGAGTTGTGCAACATAACAGCATTAGACTAAAGCATAATTTTTATTTTGCAATAAATTAAATATTGTATGCTCATGATAAAGTGAGAGTGAGACAATGCACATAATCCTCTTAGAAGACCTCAGGTATTATGTTGATCCATTGTGAAGACTTGCCCTGTGTCCTACATAACCCAAGGGCCATTGGAAACAGTTTGGACGTTTGCTTGTGCTGCAATAATCAACAGTGGAAACCTGCTGTGGGAGATTTTTGCACCCCTGACTTTGAAAGACATTGATTCTGTGGTAAGTCTGCATCTTTAATAAAATGCATGGTGTCGTTTGTTCTCTTTGTGATTTATGTGTTGTGACATTTACTTTAGTTGTTATCCAGTTTTTCTTTGTGGGGACATTTATTTATTTGTCTATTGTGTTTATCTGTCACTCATTTTATTTCATTCTGTTTTGGAGGTGGGAAAAATGACTTTATCACTAATGCTGTGACGGACATTATTTATTTAATGATTAGGAGCATTGTCTGAATAGTTCACATGCTTTCAAATGAAAACTACTGTTGTGCTACCTGCTATATAAATGTCATTTTGTCTAGGCTGGGTTTTCCAAGGAGATGAGGATGACATGAATCACGCCGCTGAAGTTTTAGATTCACCCTGCTGGGGAGGGAGCTGGACTTGTAGACCAAAAGCCCATTTATGCAGCTTTAATTCTCCATAGCCAGTATCATCACTGCTTTGGAGGAACATGTATTGCACAAGAAGGAAGCGGCTGCAGCTGAGCCGGGTCTTGTTTCTCCTTTCCGTGGTTTCTCTCTGTACGCTCTACCAGCTGACCATCAGTGCCAGACTGTACCAGCCTTTGCCAATGTCTCAGATTGGAGAAGATTTTGGAGAAGGTTCAACAGAGGGGGTTGAGGAGGCTACAGTAGAGATTCAGGGGCTGGAGGAACCTCTCACTGCAACACATGAATTAGAGCCCACAGATCAAACAACGCCAGAGATGCACGTGACACATCACTCAGATACAACTTCAGATTTTAAAGCTTTGACCTCCACTGAATCTCCTCCATCACCGACTACAAACCGGACTATTGTGCATTGCATCTATGTGGCCCCCGAGCCTCCACGGCAGACACCCAAACCAGCTCCAGCTCCTCCTGTGGCCACCATCACTCCAGCTCCTCCTGGTGATGCTCCACATATAAAGGGTGAATACCCTGAAGATATTTTTTCCGTTGATGACCGTAGACGAGGCTGGGTGATCCTCCATATTTTTGGCATGTTGTACATGTTCATTTCACTTGCAATTGTGTGCGATGAGTTCTTTGTTCCTGCGCTGGGGGTAATCACAGACAAGTTAGCCATCTCTGAAGACGTAGCAGGAGCCACTTTCATGGCTGCCGGAGGCTCTGCTCCTGAGCTTTTCACATCCTTTATAGGAGTCTTCATTGCCCACAGCAATGTTGGTATAGGCACAATCGTTGGTTCCGCAGTTTTCAACATTTTGTTTGTGATTGGAACGTGTGCTTTGTTTTCACGGGAGGTACTTCAACTAACTTGGTGGCCACTTTTCAGAGACGTATCTTTCTACATAGTTGGCCTCATCTTACTCATCATCTTCTTCTTGGATAATGTCATACTGTGGTGGGAGAGCGCGATGCTGGTGGCCTGTTACACTCTCTATGTGATTTTCATGAAGTTCAATGTGCAAATAGAGAAGACCTTCAAGGCCCTACTCCTCAAAAACAAGAACATTGTCAGAATTATTGCTGTGGAAGAACCTGAAAAGGTAAGAACTTTGACAGAACTTTGTCAGCTCTTTCATGTCCTCAATAACAGTGTCCAGGCATTGGCCCAAAGTTGTTTAAATACTTCTAAGCATATCAGCGAACAATTCAAACAATTACAGAACAATATGCAATTGAAGATAAATGCATCTCTTCATGAGTTACAAATAAGCAGATTTTGTGATACTTTTAGTCCTTAAAACAGAGGAATATTCTTGAATGTGAAACTAGCCCTTTTCTTCATGCATCATTTTGTTTCTTATTCTATTATACTCATCACAAGGAGTGTCATTTATAACTGAAAAATAATTACTCATCACTCGTGATATCTCTAGTACCACTTGTGGGGTTATATTTACTAGCAAAGGCGTTGGTTGAACCAAAGCTGATCAGCCACGGCAAATGAATCCTTTGAGGAGACGTCTCTGTACAAGCTGTAGCATCAACATATACATGTGTTTAACCCTGGTAAGTGTGATTGAGGCTTAATTTACACACGGTAAAGCCACAGTATTTGTGCACACTCAGGGTATTTGTTGAGCTGGATATACTGGTGGAGCTGTGTTCCTAAAGAGCAAATGTAATTATTTGATGTGTTGAAAATGCTATTTCACATCATACAGAATCATACTATAGTGGGACTTCTTTGTTTTAACAGTGTGAGGAATAATTTCACAAAATGATAATCCCATACACAACACTAAGCTCCATCTCTTTTATTATCTTGCAGCACTAACAAGACCCTCAGACGGTGTAATATGTGAAATAGCAATGTATAAAACCATAGTGTATGCTAATATTTAAGCTCAATCAAAATGAAATAACTTTGGTCTATCTCTATCACTGAATGACTGAAACATTGTTTCACGCAGACAATTGTGGACGCTGAAGATAAGACCCAACCTGCTCCAGAGGACAAGAATCGGTTAAAGGTACAAAATAAAACAACCAACAAATACACTGCAGAAAGAAAGACACAAAATACAACAGCCTCACAGGCACTCTGTGTTCATTTATCTACACGGTATTCTACGTCTTATTGACCTTTCTACAGTCCCATTCATCATAACATCGAGAAAACAAGACCTGACCTCCATTACTACACAATTGTCTAACATTGATGTGTCACTGTCTGTTATTGTGATTTGCCAAAGTTGTGACCTCAGCCATCTCTTTCCACAGTTGAAGCCATCCCTTCAGCGAGGGGGAAGTTCAGCTTCTTTACACAACAGCACCATGAGAAACACCATCTTCCAACTTATGATCCACACATTAGACCCTCTAGCAGAGGGTGAGTACCATATCTCCACACTGATTGCTCTAATGATTGAGCATTATCTCCCTTTAAAAGTGCTCTTGTAATGAGTGTCTGGGGACTACGGCCTTCTCATTGTAAAATAGATTAGCAGAGTGTCCTGAATGAAGACGGCACTAAGTCCAGATTGATACTAAGCAGATAAATACATACCTCAGTCTATGGAGGGATATATTTGTAGGCCCACAGTGAATACAAAAGATTGTTAGGACACCCAAAGCTATGATGAAAGAATTTTTTACATCATGATTATGAAATCATTTATGATTTTTAGACAATTTCTGTAGTAAAAAGTGTTAATATTTCTGTTAAATCAGTTAGATGTTGAAAAGGAATCTAATCTGTTAACTTTGGTTTGTTGTTTGCCTGTTAAACAATGTGGTGAAAGACTGGCCCGAGACAGCTTTCCCAGTGTTATTCCTGATATATTAGTAAGGTTACAGTATAGCTTTATATTGCATCATGCTATGGAGAGCACACTGGTCTGTGGTTGCCTAAGGCAGGACTACTGTACTGTGTGTCTCACTGTGTACCTGTGGCCCTGGCGCCTGGTTTGCTCGTCTCTCAGGCCTTCAGGCAGCAAATATTCCACCACTCCGGGACATTCACAATAATCAGCGCCTGTATCAACCCACTCCAAAAGCAACACTACAAATATCTGTGGCTTTTCTAGATAATTTCATGCAGCCAAAGTAAAAGACACAAAAATGAATCAAATATATTTGTAATATGTGCCTAGGGAAAGGGAAAGGGAAAGTAATTAAGAAATGCTTTGTTATGTCATGGTTACCTATTTTGACCTCTGCTATAAGTTATGCTTGCTTAAGGCTGGTGTTTTCAATCTGACATTGGTTCAAAACGAACAGTAAATTATTTTAGAAAAAATAACTATGTGTCCCTTTCAAACAAATCCCTGTTTCTAATATAGACAAAGAAGCAGTAGCATTCATGTATAATGGGTTTTCATTGGAGAGAAAAACCAACAACCTGCCTTGTTTTTATGCGTTGTGTGTTGTGCAATTCCTTTGATAAGCTCTGTTGTCCTCTCATGACATTGCTCTGTTCTGAAGTCAGGACTATGATGCTTGTTGTTATTGATGTAACACTGCCAGTATATTGCCCTATGCCTGACACCTGGGTGATGTGACTGCTTATTTATCTTCCATATAACTGTGATACTGTGAAATGATTGTAGATATTATCACATGACTGAGTAACTCATCGCAGAATTCTTCTAAGTTTGTTTTTGGTTGTTTGATTGTTCGTAGGGAAATTTATGGATAAGGCTGAGACTCTGAATAATGTGGCTAGACGGACGGCAGAGAGCAAAACTCAAGACAAAAGTGAAGGTAACATGGAAGGATGTGATGGTCATCCACTGATCAAACTGATCAAGCGCCTTTCATTAAGCTTTCAGAGTCTGCTCATTAACAGAGTCGGAAAGCTGCTCATCCTCTGGGCTGCAAAAAGCCTCCAGCCAAAATACTTAAGCATGTGAACTGAGTGAGTCAAACAGGTGCTGTGACAACAGAAAGTTGATGAGATGTGTATAATACATGTCCCTCTATTATAATAATATAAGGTTTATTGCAGCCAATTAGAAAACTTGCTGCTTTGCTGCATACTGTAGGTGGGTGAGCAGTTGTAAAATATAAAGCTACAGGATAAAATTACAGTTCTTTTAGATAACTGAATGAGTAAGAGGCATCAGGGAAATGCACAAGATTTTTGCGATTCCTTTTGCAGATGGTGGAGGTAAAACTGAGCCAGTCAAAGAGCCAGAGGCCGCCCCAGCCTCAGAAACAGAGAAGACGGAGCAGCCAGAGGACAAGAAGGTACTCTCCAACCATGTCCTGGTGGTTATCAAAAAGCCCAGAAGTCAGTCTTTGATACCTGTCTATGTAAGAGTCAATGTATGAAGTCAGAACTTAAGGCAAAGACGCTTCCTTGGTCTTTGCTTTTATTTCTATTCTGCTTCAATTGTTGATTTATGATTTATTTCCCCAACATTTCAGGAGGATGTGCCAGCAGGAGACGATGGATTAGGAGGCTCCGACAGTGATGAAGAGGATAGCGATGAAGACAGCAATGAGTCCAGTGAAGAAGAAGAAGAGGAGGAGGAAGATGAAGATGAGGGGGAGCAAGAGGATGAACCTCTGTCTTTAGAGTGGCCTGACACACAACGTAAACAAGCCACCTACCTCTTCCTGCTACCCATAATCGTCCCTCTGTGGCTCACTGTTCCAGATGTTCGCAACCAGGTGAAGACCCACACGCACCTCTGCGGTGTTATTTTAAATGCCTCAACACTGTGTTTTGATTTTACGTCACTTACTTTGGTTCAACAGAAATCCAGAAAATTCTTTGCAGTGACTTTCCTGGGCTCTATTATGTGGATTGCTGTTTTCTCCTACCTCATGGTGTGGTGGGCCCATCAGGTCCGTTACTGTAGTAACATTAGACATGGAATTTGAAATACATTGCCGTGTTTCCTGATAGTGCACAAGGCATTGTGGGTATTTCTTTTCATTGTGTCCTGAATCAGTCATGTTGACAAAAACATGTAAGTCATTTTCCTTTTCTGTAGCTTCTATTCACTCTGAACTCTCATTTGCCCTTGTAGGTGGGTGAGACCATCGGCATCTCAGAGGAGATTATGGGCCTGACTATCCTCGCTGCAGGGACATCCATCCCCGACCTCATTACCAGTGTGATAGTGGCACGTAAAGGCCTGGGGGACATGGCTGTGTCCAGCTCTGTGGGCAGTAACATCTTCGACATCACAGTGGGGTGAGCTCCGATATTCTGACGTGTCACGATTGAAAAAGAAATGCTGATGAACACTCAAATGATACACTTCTTGGTTTAACATTTCTCTCTGTCACTTTGTTTCAAAAGCCTTCCAGTGCCGTGGCTTCTGTACTCATCCTTCCACAGTTTTGCTCCAGTGGCTGTCAGCAGCAACGGGCTCTTCTGTGCTATCGTGCTGCTCTTTATCATGCTCCTCTTCGTCATCATCTCCATTGCATACTGTAAGTGGAAGATGAATAAGCTGCTGGGTTTCACCATGTTCCTGCTCTACTTCATCTTTCTGGTGTTTAGCGTGATGCTGGAGGATCGCATCATTATCTGCCCTGTTTCCATCTGAACGTGTGAGCGGAAGTCATCTCTAAGGCATTCTCTTCACTTGCGACCTGAAGCACAACTGTTAACCCAGTTGTATGTAATGTACGAATCTCATGACCATGGGTCTGGATATCTGTAGAAACTGTGAAGAAAGCTACTGTAGTTGCTCTGCATTGCTGCCAGTGACATGTGTCCAGTATGTCAGCAACATTACACATACTAGAACATTTACTAGACGTTGTTACATACTCACTTTTAGTAACAATGGCATCTTTTATATACTTTTTTTTTTAATTCATAAGGAGATGCACTAAAATAGTGTAGGTAAGTGTAAATGAATGAACACTAACAGGACTATGAACATGTTTTCACTGTTTACAAAACAGAATCTATGTAATATAATTAGAAATATAGAATACATGCACATTTTGGAAAATGTATGTTTCTAAATATGAATTTTGTATGATATGTGAGTATACACTTACGCCTATCACTGTTTTATAACAATCATCATAGAGAACTTGAGCTTGCTTGAATTCACTGTTCGTTCATGCATATCAGTTTTTATACAAAAAGGTCTGGCATAGAAATAGCCCTGTTTGGAAAAAAAAACTTGACATCCGTAGAATAAATGTGTTTATTCATAAATGAAAGCAAACTATAGATCCAGCCAGGGAAGAAATTTAATTTCTTTTTCATATAAAAATCATACAAATTAGTATCTGTGTTACAAATGATAAATAATACTTAATAAACACTGTTTAAATTGACAAATTGTGTAAACAACATGTACACATCAAATGATGTTTTGGTCTTTATTACAGGTGATTAAAATGCAAATTTACACGATATGATATTGGTGTTTATTCCAAGCACACAGCCCTGTCGAATCCAGCATCGTTTCATCAAAAGTTATAATGATGAAGTCCAGTAATAAGCTGTGGCGCTGCATCATATTACGACCAACAGAATGTAGGCAGGTTTTTGTCAGTTAAAAGTGAAAGACAATATTAACGCAGTGAAACATTTTTGGAAGTGATTCTGACTGAGTGCAAGTCAGAGCTGTTGTTCTAACTTAACACCTTTGACATTAAGTATATCTATTAATATGTTCAGTGCAAAAAAACATGCTCCATCAGTTGTTCAAAGAGATTTAAAATGTCCTTGCTCTGGATGTCACATTAAACAGTGCACTGTTGTCAAATTGTGTAAAACGGACATCTACACCATACAGTGAAGAACAAAAGGAAATATAGAAAATACAAGAAACAAATAATCTGTACATTTTATAGATCCGTTACTGTGTCAATTAATTCATTTCTTCATCAAAAAAATGTGTTGAATAAACTAACAGAAAACATTTATTTTTTTTCCAATTAGTTTGATTGTACTGTTTTTAAGGAAATATATCCTCAGTGGTCCCATTTAACACATAAATCATCATATAAAAAAGGTATTACTTAAAAAACTAAATTAATCATAGACTATTGCTATTTTGACTATTTACTATTCCCTTTTGGGTTATTTTGGTTCATTGTACAAAAAATGATAAACAAAGAAACTAAACATTGTGCATATACATTGACGGGAGTACTCCCTTCTTGATTCAGAAATAATATTGTGTTTAATAATTTAACTAAACTAGTTACCATCTAGTTTAGTGTATTCAGGTATATGAGCATGGCCCTGCTATATGGACAGGGTGCAGATGAGGAGGAATTTCTTTGCTATATTAATTGTATGTAATGGAAATATTAAACAGTGCAGTAAGTCCTGCAGCTGCCAAATAAAAAGTCCCTTAAGTGTAGGCTGCTGGGCCACAGCGTTACGTAAATGAGAAAGAATGGCAAGAGCTCGTCTTGTCAAAGTGCTTTGTAAAAACACAAATGTCTAAAAGCAAGTACTTATTATACACACACTCAACAACAGTCTAAACAAGGTCACCAGGACCACTTTGGACAATGTGATCATACACTGACTTTTATATACTTACAGCTTCAACAGAATCAAAGTCATAAAATAGACTGTATAATAAATGTACAAACAATTTACTACAGTTATACTGAAAATACAGCGGGTTTTCTAAATATTTACAGACACTAGGTCGTCACGCCACGCCTCTCAGCTCTAACAGTATTCAAGAAACCCATGGCAGTTACTTTACATGAAGTGTCATGTTCCCATTGTGCTTACGAGCTCTGTGCTCCAGTCAGGTGAGCTGGTCCTGAGTCTGACGAACAGTCCAGAAAAAATACAGCAGCAGTGACCATAGTTAAAAAAAAACATAATGTGACAGAAGAAGAGAAGTACTTTACAGACTGGGCTCCCCAAAAGTCCTTCTGCACTCCATGACCCCTGCTCCGGGGGGCCGGTCACAGTTGTGTGTTAGCTTTACCTGGCTGGGGGTGAGGCGATCATATGCCAACTTGTACTCCCGGTCAAAAGCATCTGTAAAGAGGGATGACAATGTGAAAGCAATGTGTTATTGAAATGTATTTAATACATTGGGGAAGCATGTATTCGACAAAGCAAGGTCAATGCTAACGTGCTGACGTTATTAGCAGGTATAATGTGTACCATGTTAACCAGCTTAGTTTGGCATGTTAGCAGGCTAACATTTGCTAACTCAGCACTAAACACAAAGTATACGCATGAGGATGATATCATCTGTTTTGCAGGTATTTGGTCTGAAAAGCAAGTACTGAAAAATAAAATAATAATAATTTCGACCTGATGATGGGATCACCAAAGTCAGTAGGATTCATCCTCTGGCCACAGTGGATAGCTGTACCAAATGTCATGGCAATCCATTGAACAGTTGTTGAGATATTTCAGTCATGACCAAAGTGGGGGACTGAGCAACAGATGAACAGCTAACATAGCATGGCTAAAAACAGGTTATTATGTTTTTGGACTTACTGATATTAATGTTGTTCTTTCCCAAAGCCACCAGAGTGAGGAACAATAAATCTCTGTAGAGGCTCCTTTTTGAAAGAGAGAGAGAAAAAAAAGAAGAAAACAATTAGACTTTCCATCCATATGATATTTCACACACGGCTTTACACTAAACTCTTTATTACCCCACCTCTGTCTTTTAAAACCCAGCTCTGGCCCCAGCAGCTGGATGATCTGGCTCATGGGCTGATAGACATCACTCTTCTTAATGTTCCTCACAAAACCCTGCAGTAGCTCCACAGTGAAGAGCTGGCCTTCTTCACACAGCCCAGAGCGCACCAGGGAGTTAGCACCTGCAAAGAACAAGAGATAAAAGTCACCCTAATCGAAGGCTCATTCATCTCCATCACTCAAAATCATTTCTGAGAGTAAAGCACAGAAAATGGCAGCATGACTAATAGGAGTCCTGAACTGAATTATGCATGCTTTTCTAGTTACTTCATAAGCATTATTTAATTTACATGTAAATTATGTCTGACCTTGATCAAACTTGTCAGCAAAAAAATCATTTTCTGTAACTAATTTCACAGTTGAAATATATTATGCCTCAGTCTGTCAAATGAAACACTTAATTGACTTACAATGTGTGTTCCACAAGACATAGCAAGGTTGGACTTTCTCTTTGTGCAACTTCAGGTTGTCCCACATAATCCGCACAAGCACCTGCTTACTGTCCTCGGAAGAAACGCTCTGAGGAGTCTGAAAGGAGCAAAACTTGTTACTGTGTATGTTACAGCCCTTGAGGGTAGCAATATATGCTGTCGTGTTTAAAAAGGCATTTAGTTTTCATTAATTAAAAAAGCCAAAATCACTATTGTCTATGTGCTATTTTTAAGTATTGCTCTGTTCGTCTTTTTTGAAACTACCACTAGGAGTCACCAAAAAACTATTCCTTCACAACAAGAGTTGATAAAATGATGGCTTCATGGTTAACGGGTCATTCTACACACAACTATATGTGGGTGAGCTTGTGGGTGAGGTTGACAGACACCTGCATGTTTACCTGGTCTCCGTGGGTACAGTGCTGAGAGGCCAGGATAAGAGCCGGCAGGTTACTCGGCAGCTCCAGCCTTCTGAAGTACCACACGAGGTTCCAGAAGACGATGGGGTGTTGGTCGACAACAGTGGGGGAAGAGATGGCCTCGTCGCCCTCATTTACCAGCAGGCTCTCCAGCTCCTTCCACAGAACCAGGGGGCTCAAATAGGGCACCGTCACCTGAGTCGGCCCAGCACTCCCGCTGCTCTCAGGTGACTGAGCTGTACAGACTGCGGCAGACATTCTGGCCTCAGGATTGAGAGATGGCGACATGATCTCCTCTGTAACAGGATTACTTTCCTTAGAAGACCTGAGGGGAGACACAGAGTGGATCTGTTTAAGGGGGCCACAAGAATAAAAGATTTTGTGTGTGTGTGTGTGTGTGTGTGTGCGTGCATGTGTGTCAGGGCTGTTGGAAAAAGTGCCAAACCGCTAGCCACCATAAAATAGCTAATCTAGCACAAGAGATCAAAGACGTTAAATCTCATTATCAGTGAATTCAGCGTGAATTATGCATCGTGTACTTCATCTGAATACTGTGTACATACGGTGGTCGTACTGGTCTGTGTAAAGGGAGCATTTACCTGCTCTGTGGTCCCAGGTCTTTGATTTCCACATTGAGGAAAGGCAGGAAGGCTGTGCCACAAAAGGGACAAGCGCTGTTGAGATTGGAGTCGTTTGCTGTCCAGCCAGCCATGATCTCCTCGTCATACACCAGACAGTCACACGTCTTACAAAGTGACGAGCTGGACATCAGCACCTACAAGACAAAGCAGCAGACATGGTGTAACACTCAATCGTGATAGTCTGAGTCAGTCTACAGAGGGGCGACTGATAAGGAATGTTTAGAAGAGAGTAACTTACCTCTATGGTGTAATTGGGAGTGGGTTGGAAGCGGCTGGTGTCGGGGGAGGAATCTGGAGTGCGCAGGGTTTTAGAAGGAAGTGCCAAACCACCTGGGTACGAAAGAGGATTATACAATTAGACACACAAAACAAAGCCAAGAGTTAAATAATAATCAAAGCTCTACATATCTGGATTAAATACAGCACAAGTGGAAAAATGAAATGAAGCAGCGCCTCGTTCTTCAAAGTGTACAGTCAGTGGACTTTTTCTTGTTGTTGTGCGGGTTTATCAAATCTGTGTTTCACACTGGTGTGTCTGGGAGTGTGCATATATGTGTGCATGTTCCCGTGTTTATGTGTAGCATAGGGCCTTTGGCTGGGTGCAGAGCAGCCTACACAGTGAATCCGCCCTCATGCCTGCTGGCCTAGTTTCGCACACAACACAGCCCTACTCTTACTCTAAATTTAGATCGCCAAGAAGTCTTTCTTACTGGGAACAAATACCATGCTGCAGTTAAAACAGAAATTTAACGAGCATGGCTGTAAGCCTTGACTTTTTCACATCCGAGATGCTTCCATAAAAGCCGCTAACTACTGTGGATTGTGTTGTTCTTCTATAGCAAATATTTCAAGATTTCGTATATCAACATTGAACCAAAACCAGCAGCATTTGTTATGCAGACCGATTAAAGGATGTGCAACAAACCAGAGAAGGAGTTGTGTCTGAACACTCTGTTGGGGTTGCTGGGGCTGCCCAGGTTGGTATGACCCACAACCGGGCTCCTCCTGAGTCGGGATACACTGCCGTGCTGGGGAGAGGTAAAGCCATCTGGGTCCAGACAGGAGTCATTATCAAGCATCGAGGAGCAGTCTGCCTCTCCTGAGGTCAGTGAGGATACACTAGTCCGGTCACAGTTCGTC